CTATGGCCTGCATTAGACTGTTGTAACCAGACATGCTTTACCAATAGGAAGATTTCCCCTCACTATCTGTAACTACTGACTAATTCCTATCACTATACCAGAGATAACCGTTACTAGGACTAATATAGTGAGATCACAGCAATAAAAACTAGACATATTCTCTAACCCTTCCAACCTTCTATCCAAAAACTAAAAAAATCTTTGAGTTAGACTTCCTCTTTATTCTTTGTTTAAAATGCTCCCCCCCAGCAGAAAGCTCTCATGCTTGGCAGAAGAACAACTTGTTGAAATAAAATAATTTTTGAGGGAAACAAAACTCAGTACCCAAGTTTTCGATTCATGCAGAAAAAAATGAGGAGGGCAAAGCTCACAGACATTTGTCTAAAGTGAACACGTTTGGAGAAAATGATCATGAGATACAATAGGTAGTACTGGAAAACTAATGCATCTATCTTATTGAACTGAACCTAGAGGACCTATTCACACCTCTACATGCGTTGAAGCAGCGCATTCATTTTAAATAGGCTTCAAGTGCCTGTGACAACACAGCTCACCACGGTGCCCTAGAGCACAGCTGCAATGTAGTCTACAGTGTACATGTGTTGGGGTGCCACACAGAATGAATGCTAACAGGGTTACCATTCAGCACACATCACAAAAACTATAAATCTATTGTACTTTTGTAATTATTAGCTGTTATGAGTGTTATAATATCACTACTAGGTGTGCAAATGCCATTACCTACAGAGCATGTGCACAAACACATAGTGCCACTTTGTGAATAGATTTTTTTTTTTAGATTTATGCTCTACATTGAGCAAAGCATGAAGAAAATAACTGCTAACAGTAAGCACTGGTGCACATCGGTGTGACTTGTCATGACAAGTTGCACGCTATTTATTTTCAGCAATGGAATGGTCCAAATTGGTGTGACTCTGATGAAGTCACATCAATTTTGAAAGTAGTTCCTGCATCTTTTGCGATTTCAAATGTGACTTGCATAGACATCTGTGCATGAAGTTACCCAGATATCTGCCAAGTTGCACTGTCATGAAATTTTGAAATCGTGTGATTTCAAGTGACGTCGCACAAGTTCAAGGTTGGATCCGTGGGAACCAGGTCTTAATCAGCTTTGTGAATGAAGCCCATTTCTTTTATAATTAGCACCACATCAGAGAAAGTGCAGGGAAGTTTTAGTTTATACCGTGTTCAGGGAATTTGAATGAAAAATTATCAACCTCTAGTGATAGAATTTGAGTTAGAATGCAGTAAAAGCTGTCGGCTTTCCAGAATTGTAAGTGCATTTTCTTTTAGCCAATACCAAGGAAAGGCTTTACAACCGGTAAAGATGTTAGTACTGATAAACACCAAATCTGATATTACCAGGACTCAATTGCCCATAGCAGGAATCCTGCTTGAGTTTTTTTTTTTTTTTTTTTATCGAAAGAGATAACTACTATGTACTGCTACTGCATTAAATTATTGGATAACTATTAAGAAGTCCTTTTTGTGGGATTAATCTCACAAGCGTATACTCTCATTTGAAGTCAACTATGACTACTTTTAATTCATATACTGCTAGCGTTAATTAGATAGGAAGGTATATTACATTTACTTTTTTTTACATTTATTCACTTACTTCCTGGTTTCTGGCCTAGGCAAATTATGTTCATCCCAAGAGTCTTCAGGAGGGTTATGCACTCCCTCCTGTCTGTGTGCCTGAGCTAACAGCACATGGATTCCAGGAAGCAAAATGCTATATCGTTCTTTTGCCCTTACCCAAGATGGACACAGAAATGCTAGGGGATGGATTTCAAAGTAATTTGCCAGCTAAATAAAGCAAAGCATGGATGAATGGGCAAGTTTGCTTTGAATATTAAAAATGAATTAAATAGAGCAGCACAGTGGCTAAATGGTTAGCACTTCCACCTGGCAGTACTAGGGTTGTTGGTTCAAATCCCAACTACAGCACCACCTGCTTGGAGTCTGCATGTTCTCCCTGTGCTTGCATGGGTTTCCTCCCACACTCAAAAGACATGCTGGTAGGTTAATTGACTCCTGTCTAATTTTACCCTAGTATGTGTATGTATGAATGTGAGTTAGGGACCTTAGATTGTACACCCGAGGGTTAGGGACTGATGTGAATGTGCAATATATATGTAAAGCGCTGCATATATTGACGATGCTATACAAGTACCTATAATAAATAGTGTTTTTGGTGTGTTTTGCTCAGATACAGTTTAGTTCTGCTTTAAAAAAAATAAGTTCACCTTTTAGAACATGTTTTTTCTATGTGTGTTCTATTGGAGAGATTTCAATTTACTTCCTGCCCTGTAGAAACAGGAAGCAAGAAGAAATCTCTCCAAATTGATGGGCAAGTCCTCTCATACAGTTGCCACCACAACATTTTGTTGGAAGATTTCCCCTCTTATTTCTTCTCAAATTACAACTCTAAATTTTAGATTTTCCCACACTTTCAGTCCCAGTGACAATGGTAACTAGGACAAATAAAGAGAATGAAACTCCTTAGTGTCAAGCCAAGACCACCACTGCTGGTAATTGGCAATACAGTGACAAATAGCTCCAGGTAAGGACAGCCTGTTGGATAGTACGGACTCAGCATCACAGCTCTTTGCACACATCAGATACTTGGCACTGGAATTCACAGTGTGTGTAAATGCCTGTGCAAATGGAGCCTAAACTTTAAAACAAGGTCCTACTAACCCCCGTGGAGTTATCTTCAAAGTTTGTATCTGAAATTAGTTGTACTTTCTCTTGGTAGCTCATCTTCCCCTGCCAGCAGGGAGTTGCAGCCTGCCAATCACAGTGCATCCAGAAAGTACATGTATGTACAAAAGTATTCCCATCCTTTGCTCAATACTTTGTTGAAGCACCTTTAGCGCCAATAACAGCCTCAAGTCGTTTTGAGTATGATGCTACAAGCTTGGCACACCTATTTTTGGGCAATTTCTCCCCTTCTTCTTTGCAGTACTTCTCAATCTCCATCAGGTTGGATGGGGAGCGTTCATACACAGCCATTTTCAGATCTCTCCAGAGATGTTCAAGTCGGGGCTCTGGCTGGGCCACTCCAGGACATTCACAGAGTTGGCCTGTAGCCACTCCTTTGTTATGTGGGCTGTGTGCTTAGGGTCGTTGTCCTGTTGAAAGATGAACTGACACCCCAGTCTAAGGTCCAGAGCGGTCTGGAACAGGTTTTCCTGGAAAACATCCCTACAGCATGATGCTGCCACCACCATGCTTCACTGTAGGGATGGCATTGGCCAGGGGGGTGAGTGTTGCGTGTTGCCTGGTTTTCCTCCAGACATGACGCCTGGCATTCAGGCCAAAGAGTTCAATCTTTGTTTCATCAGACCACAGTTTTGTTTCTCATGGTGTCCCTCAGGTGCTTTTTGGCAAACTCCAGGTGGGCTGCCATTTGCCTTTTACTGAGGAGTAGCTTCCGTCTAGCCACTCTACCATACAGGCCTGATTGGTGGAATGCTGCTGAGATGGTTGTTCTTCTGGAAGGTTCTCCTCTCTCCACAGAGAAAAGCTGGAGCTCTTTCAGAGTGCTTGGTTACCTCTGGCTAAGGCCCTTCTCCCTCGATTGCTCATTTTGGCCGGGCAGCCCGCTCTAGGAAGATTCCTGGTGGTGCCAAATTTCTTCCATTTACAGGTGATGGAGGCCACTGTGCTCATTGGGACCTTCAATGCTGCAGAAATTTTTCTGTACCCTTCCCCAGATTTTTGCCTTGATACAATCCTGTCTCGGAGGTCTATGGACAATTCCTTGGACTTCATGGCTTGGTTTGTGCTCTGACATGCACTGTTAACTGTGGGACCTTATCTAGACAGGTTTATGCCTTTCCTAATCATGTCCAATCAACTAAATTTCCCACAGGTGGACTCCAATCAAGTTGTGGAAACATCTCAAGGATGATCAGTGGGAACAGGATGCACAGAGCTCAATTTTGAGTGTCCTGGCAAAGGCTGTGAATACTTATAAAAAAAAGAAAAAAAACACACATTGTACATTTTTAATAAATTGCAAAGATTTCAAAACTAACTTCTTTCACATTGTCATTATAGGGTATTGTTTGTAGAAAGCTGAGGTAAAAAATTAATTTAATCCATCTTGTAATAAGGCTGTAACATAACAAAATGTGTCAACAGTTAAGCGCTGTGAATACTTTCTGGATGCACTGTATTACTGTAATGCAGTTAAAATACCCTGTGCTGGGAGTGCCTTGGAAAGGTCGACCACTGCTCTCACACGCAAACAGTGGCCTGTCTCTCAATTGGTCTTAGATACACCCCTAAACAAGTCGTCCAGACTCTCCAATGTGCTGCCAGCACAGGGTATTTTAACCCTTGCTGCAGCCTTTAGGAACTAAAAAAAAAAAACCCACAAAAGTGTATTAATTACTGCATATGCAGCCTGATTGCATTACAGAAAAAAATGCAGAAGTTTCAAATAGGCCTTTATGGAATATAAACATAAAGCAGGTGTACAGGAAGAGGGGAGAGAAGGGCTGAAAAACTGGCAAGAACAGCTTCACTGTTTGTACTGTATTCAATTACTCCACAGTAGCTGTAACTACAGAGATCAGTGAAGGCTTACCTTAAAGCCTATTTACTGCTTGTTATGAATGCGTAAATATTTAAATGCCCATAGCCTTTTATAGTGCAACCTAAAGTATTAAGTCAATTCATAAGCAATTTAATTATTTAAACTTATAATAAAAATACAGTGATCCAACACAAAGCACAGAGATCTAGACATTTTATGTTTATAAAACACAGGTTCATTGAAAGATGTCAACAGCAGAGTCTGCCAAACAATAACACACACACACACCATCTGTACACATGCCACAGAATTAAAAACACACCCAGCTATTTGACAGTGATGCTAATAATGGTGATGTCTTCATATGGCTTATCCGTCTTCGGGTTAACTTTGACGTTTGAGATCCTTTGGACGACTTCCATTCCTTTGGTTACTCGCCCGAACACTGTGTGTTTTTGTTGTCGAGCCAAGGCTGTGAGAAGAGAAAACAGATCATTATCCAACCGAGAATTGCGTAGAGCCACTTGCCTGTCAGAGGAATATCCCCTTAGCTTTCAGATAGCGCGTTACCTCCTAGGCTGAGGGGGGAACCCACAACATATTAACCTTCTAGACAGGCTGAAGAATTCAAGGTTTGCATACTATATGCCAACACACAGAGAATTGCATACATATGTGAATGATGATTCTGGGAAGACATCGCTGGTTAAGAGAAACAGACCTACTGTGAGGCACTTAAAGTTTAGCGAGGCCCAGACTAATACAATCCTTACTGTGTTGTCATTTGTCAATTAAACCATTAATACCAGATAAAATAAAAGCCACATGAAATGATTAATGCTAAATGACGTCTGTGGTTACAACATCTGTGCTACTCTTGAACAAAAATGATGTTTTTAGTTTTATTTTGCACAGCTGCACAGCAGAAAGTCTCACTTTGGGGCCCTTTTTTCATAACAGTCACCATTCATTGTCCAGCATAACCCTTGATACGTTTACCCTAATTAAACCACTTTCGATGCAAAACTATTGGCATCTCAGCAAAATCATAGCATAAAGTAAGCATGAATTGTGGGACCCAAAATAATTTGGTGTCAAATGAGAATGTGGTCCGTCCTAAGATGGCCTCTAGAGCCCATGACTGTGTACAATTCAGCTTGTAATTCTATTGCCAGCCTCCAATGATGATGGCTGCAGAGAATGTACTCCACTATAATGTACTCCACCACTATGATCAAGATCCCGCTCTACAGGAGTTCTCCAAAGAAAAGAAAATGCCACACACGTTACTGCAAATCTCTGTGAAGTGAAGGAAATGCCCCTTTAGACAGCTGGTCACTGTAACATGAGTTGCCATTGGAAGATTCTCCTCTATTCCTGTTGTAGTGGCAACTTAAAATTTTTGATTCTTCCTTCCTTTCGGTCCCAGGGATAGTGGTCCCCAAGTCAAATAGAATATATCTCCCCAATTAGGACAAAAACAGCATTAAAGTAGAATTCCAGGGTTACTTTTACTTAAATTGTTCTATTAGTTAACCATTTCCATTACTAACTGATGCCACTACTGTGTGCATTGTAATACACTAGTAGAAGCAGCTACATATAGTACGTGGCACCGTAATCCACAGCAGTATGCAAGACTTCCTGCCTGCTACCAGGACTAAATCAAGTTGGCCTGAATGCATTTCCACCACTCAGAAGAAGCTCTATATTCTTATTAATGAATAGAAAGCATCCTCTGATTGACCAAGGTGGAAAAACATGACATTATCTGCCCACCTATTCACCTCGGCCAATTACAGGATGGCAGTTTTCAATTACGAGTGACTAAAACAGTGAACATTGTTTTACACATCCAATCTCTGATTATGCACACCACAAGCCTTGAGAGGTAAACACCGATGAAATGTCAGTGAAATTTAAGAACTGTCAAACCTCCATTAACACTGAAGGTTTTTAAACAAGAAATTGAGAATAATTAAGCCTAAGTTCACAGTGATGCAGTGTGATTTTAACCTGATTTTCAGTGTGATTTTCAAATGCACTTGCAGTGCGACTTGATGCAATTTTGATGTGATTTTGATATATCTACGATTTTCCATGCTGTGGAAGAAAACCTGCTGGAATTGTAGGACAATAGGGCAGATAAGTGATTTGTTAAATCAGTGCAAGAGCTATGCGTTAATCTTTCTATGCACAGAACCCACTAAGCCCTAAAATATAACTTTTATTCATACACAGCTAAAATAACATGTTGGTCAAAAATGTATGAACCTGCAGATGGATGCAGGGGATAAAAATTCAGGTAGAGAGTATTCAAATGAAGTTTTCCATGAAGAGAAACATTCCCTAACTTTGATCCTATGGGAGGTACTCGTTAGTATGACCAGTTTTTGGATACAAGTAAAGGAATGTTTCTCTTCATGGAAAACCTTATTTGAATACTCCTACCTGAATTTTTATCCCCTGCATCCACCTGCAGGTTCATACATTTTTGCCAACATATGTTATTTTAATAACTTATATTTCAGGGCTTAGAGGGTTCTGTGTGTAGAGAGATTGACGCACAGCTCTCGCAATAATTTACCAGTTGTGATTTCCATACAGTAGCCTGTAATTAATTTGGCTCTGGATAGTCTGGCGAATTTACTGGTTTATAGATAAAGGATTTAAAAGCATTTCCATTTAAGTCTATGGACTAAAGATTCACATCTGAAATTGAACCAGGTCCTAAAGATGTCCGATTACACATGTAAATGAACTACGACCAATAAATATTCTTACTTTCCTTGCACTGGGACACCACACTCCCTCACCTATTGTGTCTGTCTCCACTCTACATTAGCTGTGTGACGGTGTACAATACATCATGAAGACCAGGAAAACAAGTTACTGTTTCTTGGTTTGGTCAACCTCACATATACATTAATGGGACTTTAAGTGTCTCAGCAAATTAATTTTCTTTTTGTAGATCTATACAGGTATCTAACCTGCTGGTGAAATTTATATACAGGTTTGGTAAACACTGAGCATATCTAAAAGGCGTGGTCAAACATCACATTAAATTTTTCGGATGTGCCATTGACTTTTTTTTTTTTTGCAATAGGATCATCGAATATACAAAATCTGTCCACAGGAGGCCTTTAAAAAGCCACAGCAAACTTCTGTTTAATATGTCTCTGCCATTTTTTTGCTTCAGTCTTTTCACTGGGTTTTTATATTGTAACATTATGACAATAAATGAAATCATGAGGTAATACAAGAAGAATTCCAGAGAAGGCTTCAAATGTATTGTAGAAAATAAAAAAAAAAAGTAAATTTGAAATGAGTTATATCAACCCACTGTGGTATGAGAGTGCATTGTAATGGCTAATAACTCAAGATCTAGAAGCATACGTTGACAGGTTAGGTCAAGAATTTACTACTATAGTGCAGTTTTGAATCAGAATGACTTCTACGTTTGCGGACGTTTACATGTAATAACAGAATGTTGGTGAGGGAATAGATGGTAGAGGGGGATAAGAAACAGCTAAATAGGACAGACAAGGGGCTTCTAGAGAAATATTGGTGACATAAGTCAATGAATTCCATTTTCAATTTAATTTTTGTTTTATACACCATTCCAGATATTATACAGGATTGGGACTGGAATGAAGCATATTCTCTATGGTCATAGCAAATATACGAATACATCATACGCTCTTACAGTTGGCACCACTGTCAAGAAGAACTGAGAGCCATTGGTTCCTGGGCCTGCATTAGCCATGCTGAGAGTGTAGGGTCGGTCATGTCTTAGCGTGGCATGGAACTCATCTTCAAACTCTCCACCCCAAATACTTTCTCCACCCATTCCGGTTCCTGTAGGATCTCCTGTTTGAATCATGAAACCCTAGGAAGAAATAGTCAGAAATGTAAATATAAGATGCGAGTCAGGAAAATGCAAGGTATGTTAATTGCAAATGGGAAGTTTGTTTACAGGTACCCAAGTGTATATCAAAAAAGGAAATAAAATACCCAGTTCAACTTGCCAGCCAGCTAGCCAACAACCAAATTAACCTGTCTAATATTGTGCGTTTAAAAACGGGTTTAGTTAGCACACATTTGCAAATACATACGTAAGCCACAGAGTCACGGCACCCCGATATTCTGTGGTCCTAACAATACAAATTTTAAGAGCCCTCACAGTAGAGGCACATGCATTTAATGGATAGACCAAGGGCACAGAATATCAGGGTGCCGTGAGGTGGCTCTGTGGCTTACGTATGTATTTTGCAAATGTGTGCTAGCTAAACCCGTTTTTAAACGCACATTATTAGACAGGTTAATTTGGTTGTTGGCTAGCTGGCTGGCAAGTTGAACTGGGTATTTTCTTTCCTTTTTTTGATATGCAATGCCTGTCCATGTTCATTGCTGCAAAGGCCAGTGACCACCTTCTTGTAACCCATGTGTATATACCTCCCCTCTTACAGTGCATGAGTTGCAAACCTGTGAACTGCCTGAAGTCTCAGCACAAAATGAGAGCATACTCATTATAAAAATTACCACAACCTATAACACAATGCAGTAAACAATGTGTGCTAGATCTGTACACTTGTTTTGTAATCTAGTATAATTTGTATTTAAAGTCTATGTTCAGTCAAAACATTTTTTTTTCATTTTGAATAAGCTAGGGGAAGCTTTTTCTGACCACTCTCCAGGGCTCCATTAGGGAGAGTTACCCTCACTTCCTATCCTAGTGATAACATTTTTTACCAGACACGGGTAAATCTAACAGAGCCCCATGGAATGGTAAAATCTGTCCTAATACTTCTTCATTCAAAAAAAAAAAAAAAGATTTGGCTTTGCGTAAAGTTTAATACAGTTATCCAGCACTTTACACAATGCTCTGACCCTTTTACATTGTCCTTTCCCACAGGAACCTACAATCTAACATCCTCAAACAAAACAAGTTTTTAGGAGCAGAGGATCGATGTATGAACATGGCAACTTCTTCTTTCTGGTGTGGTCATTTCCTACCAGACATTTCAATGCAGATCAATTAAATTACAGTAAACATTCTTACCTTAATGATTCGGTGAAACACATGACTATTGTAGTAACCATTGCGGCTGTGTACACAGAAATTCTCCACGGTTTTGGGACACCTGCATTAAGGTATTTATTGTCTGTGGTTAGCCAGTATGTATTATTTATATATCTTAGGCCCCTATTCCATGACATGTATAAAATAAATTACACTCATAATAAGGTTTCTACATTCCTTAGTACAGTTCCCAAAATACATTTTACCCTGACTGATGTAACGTGGCCTTCCTATGCAATGGCTCTAAATGTTTTCCCTTTATTTAATTAACTGCTAAATGACTCCAAACCGAACAGTTTTTGAAAAGGAAAATCAATGTTTATTGGGTGATCTGGATTATAGAAAACACATTTATATAAGGGGAGTGAGAACTGTTCCTTCAGCACAAATGCAGTAGATAACATTTGCTGATTTTACCAGTTTCTTCCAGTAGCATCACTTGGGCACTACAGCATATACAACTATGGTGATGAGAGTGTGAACAGCCCCTTTACTGGCACAAATCATGCATATTTTGCTCAGGATATCTGGGCATTACACAAATGTCCTATCATGCACCAAACATGAATAGACCATTCACTGGCAAAAATAATGCACATTTTGTTCAGGATGTTAAGGCACTACATTTTCCAGCATGCATTCAATAGTTGATTGGCTCCAGATGATCAGGTGGTTTTGAATTTAATTTGTCATCCCATGCACAAGGACAGACAGGGAGAAATGGTGTATTCATGACTGCCAACTCCAGAAATCTTTGTGAGCTAGGTAGGCAAAATGGCCTGATTAATATGTCAGTTTAAAACAATATTTGATTTGTGGCACTTACTCGACAGGAAACAGTTTGACGTGAATATCTCCCATGCTTGTGTGGACGATGGCGCTGTCAGAAACACGTTTAGGCCCCTCGGCCTGTGTAGCGGCCATAACCTCTTCTTTTGATGGTTTCTCATTAAAAACATCTCTGTCAGATTCAGCACTTTTTGTGTCTTCTGGCTCTCGCTTGGTAAACTGTAAATCAGACAAACCCATAGCTTACAGTTTTGTCCAGACATCAATGCTTATACCAAATATAAACTCGGATAGCTCTGACAAGGTCCAGACAATGAAGAGCAATCTCTTTGGGGTGCTTCAAAGAAGAACGCAATAGAGAAGGACTATGGAGGTTAAGGAGGAAGTTACATACCACCTTAGATAGAAAGGTAGTTCCCTAGAGTTCCTGATGGGTTCAAAGTGTGGTTTCTGCAGGGCAGAGAGGACCAAATGAAGATCAGGGTGTGAAAAAGGTCTAATCTCTAGACTTCCTTGAATAAAGGTTTTTTACCTGGGAAAATGGTAAAGACCTTTATTCAAAGAATTGCAGATGTAGGTTTTTGGAATAAGATGGACAAGGCAGAAACCTTGAGGCCCCGTTCACACTTGGGTGTTTAGGAATTGTGGGCAGAATTGCACTAATTTTGCCGTGATTCCAAATTGCAGCAAAAACGTGCAACGCGCATTTGGGTGCCATTCATCCTGAATGGCACCCCAAACACAGTGTGATTTTGCTGCGATTGTTGCGTGATAAAATGCACCTGGCTCACGGGCAAAATTTTGGCCCTGAACTTCATTGCTGTGAAAAATGCTCATCAGGCCGCCATTCAAATAAATGTGCTACCCTATGCGAAACATGTGGAACTGCGCTCACAAACTCACAAGCGCAAATTCTCATTTCCATTACACAATATGAAGAGGGCCTAAGAGTACCTTAAGGCCAAATTTGGGTCAAATTCAGATTGTAGGAAGGTCAGAATTTGAGGCCCAGAAAAACCTCTTGAATTGAAATGCCTTTGTTCACATCAGGCAAAGAAGGATTTCCAGGCACAATAGTACATTTTTCTGAAGTGGCCTTTCTGGCATTGAGCAATGTCAGAATGACAAAATCACCCTTTCCTTCAAGACCTGGTTTTCAACAACCATGCTGTTAAAGCCAGTGACTGGGAAGCAGGATGGAACGGGAACCTGAGACAAGAGGTCTGGCCTGTTTGAAAGAGGCCTCCTTGAAGTTTGAGTATGTCTTTGTACAAAGTTCTCCTGGTCTAGTTTGGTGCAATAAGAATCAATGGTCTCTTCTGGTAATGCCAGTGCCAATGCCTGAATCCTGGTAACCTCTTGGTGGCTGATATAGAAAAAGCCCTCCGTCACACCACTTTTGTGCAGAGAACTGGAATAAGTCGGAACAATTTTTCTCCATCCACCTTTCTGTGACCTCTATAGATGTCATGACAAACAGTGGACTGAATTGAGAAGACTAAATATTCATGACTGCCACATTATGTAAACAAATTATCCACTTGTCGATCGGCCGCAGTACATTTACTGTGACCGGCAGGTTGGCTCATACAGGCACAATCACGTACCTATAAATTGCAGCTTTCTTCTGGGTCCACACGGGCATGCTATCATTCGCTGCAGCATAAGCTGATCAGCAGGTCCCAGACAATGATTTATGGCCAGGTTCCACTGATCGGCTGAGCAAATGACAGAAGAGAGCCTTGTGTTGGTAAACAGCACAGGGCTCCCTACAGACAGCAGCGATGTGCAAAGCAGGAAGTAAAAAAACTGGCACATTATCTAGTAAAATCATCACACAGTATACACACCAAACATTGTTAGGCACACATTTATCCCCTTCACTGCCATAGATGTTAACCCCTTCCCAGCCAGTACAGTGACAGTCTAGATTATTAGCACTGATCACTGTATTAGTGTCACTGGAGATGTCAGTGGCAATTAGTTCCCCCTAGCATCAGTTCGTGTCAGATTGCCCACAGCACTAAAAGGTTGCTGATCATGCCATTACTAGTATAAACAAAAATAAATAAATGTTCCAATATCTATACCATAGTTTGTAGACACTAACTTTCACGCAAACGTATCAATATACACTTATTGGGAAATTGGGCAAAAAAAAAAAGCCAGCGGCAATCAAATACCACCAAAAGAAAGCGTTATTTGTGTGAAAAAAAAATTATATAAATTATGTTTGGGTACAGCACTGCATGACTAGGCAACTGCCAGTTAGAGTAGCGCAGTGCTAAATAGCAAAAAATGGCCTGGTCATGAAGGGGGTAAAATCTTCCAGAGCTCAAGTAGTTATATATATGTTATGGCTGCTCCTACTTAATTTCACAAAAAAAAACAAAACAAATCACAACACACACACATTATGACACTTGGGGACTATAGTAAAAATTGCAACTTACAGTATTATTTCTTCTGAGAAAAAGGGGGCATAAAACATTTCCTGAATGATTTAACTGTAAAAGCAAGGAAGCGTAACTTACCAATTTGAGACAGCTGGCGTGTTTTTTTAAATCCTTAAATCACTGAGTATTTCAAAGATGAAGCAAGAGGGCAGCATGTGGCACATAAAACACCACTTTAAAATGCATGTTCTATAGACTAACGCATGAAAATCTCAGAAGATCAGAAGTTCCTAAAGATGCAAACAGTCATTCCTTGCTCAAAGGCATTCACCTCATGCACCTTCCCCATGTTTAAACATAAGACACAAAAAACACTTGACTGCCTGCATGCTTTATGTTCAAAAAGCATGTCACATTTAAAAAAAAAAAAAAAAGCTACATTGTTGAAATAAAGCAATGGGAACCTAATGTCAAATACTGGCATAACAACACGTACTTAACCACTTGACCTCCAGAGGATTTACCCCCCTTAATGACCAGGCCTCTTTTTGCTACTCGGCGCTGCACTAATTCAACTGGTAATTGCGCGGTCATACAATGCTGCACCCAGACGAAATTTACGTCCTTTTTTTTCACACAAATAGAGATTTCTTTCTGTGGTATTTGATCACCTGTGCGCTTTTTATTTTTCACGCTATAAACAAAAAAAGGCCAAAAATTTTGAAGAAAAAAACAATATTTTCTACTTTCAGCTATAAAAAATATATAATAAACTCAAAGTTGGTTATAAATTTAGGCCAAAATATATTCTGCTACATGTTTTTGGTAAAAAAAAATCCCAATGAGTGTTTATTGATTGCTTTGTGTGAAAGTTATAGCGTCTACAAACTAAGGTATGGATACTGCAATTTACAAACCTTTTTTTGCTATACAGTGCTTCGCTAGTTAACGGACAATTGCGTGGTCTTGCAACACGGTACATAAATGAAATTTACATCCTTTTTTTCCCCCACAAATTGAGCTTTCTGTCGGTGGTATTTGATCGCCTGTGCGGTTTTTATTTTTTGCGCTATAAAAAAAAAAAAGCTGACAATTTTGAGGAAAAAAAAAACAATATTTTGGACTTTTTGCTATAAAACATTTCCAGTAAAAAAAAAAGTAAAAATCAAATTTAGTCATAAATTTCTGCCAAAATGCATTATGCAACATGTCTTTGCTAAAAAAAAAACCCAATAAGTGTAAATTAATTGGTTTACGTGAAAGTTATAACGTTTACAAATGGCGGGAAAAATACTGGGATTTTTAGGTTTTTTTTATACTAATAACGGCGGCGATCAGCGACTTATGGCGGCGATCAGCAACTTATGGCGGGACTGCGGCGGACATTCTGACATTGGGGGGTACTGACTTGGGGTCACTGACATCCCCAGTGACACCAATACAGTGATCAGTGCAAAAAAAAAAAAAAAAACACTGACACTGTACTAATGGCACTGCGGAGGAAGGGGTTAACTTTATTTTTCAGGAAGGGTTATTTGTGTGAGGGGGAGTGTTTTACTAGGGGGCGGGGGTGTGTGTGCTGGATGGGGACAGGCTGATCGGGAGAGAGAAACTCTTCTGTCCCGATCAGCTTGTCCTCGAGCTGTCAGGGAAGTGACAGAAAGCACAGCTACTGTAGTTGTGCTCTCTGTCACTGATTGCCGGCGACTGACATCCGCGGCTGTGATCGGCGGGACAGGTAGGGCGGCGGCACGCCTCGCGCGCCCCCTACCTGTTCACAAAACACACATTTTAAAACGTGGTTTTGCCTGCCCGTGCCGCCCTGCCAACGTATTTATACAGTGGCTGGGCGGCATGTGGTTAAAGTTTCCTTTTCTTTTGAAATGTTAGCTTAAACCTCAATAGTCTGACATAAATAAAAGTGAGCTGGTGATAATTTCACCCCCTTCTGATTTAGATATGGCTAAACTCTGATCTCTAATCTGGAGTTGCTGCATAGCTGAGCTGATGGAAGTTTAATTCAAGAGGTACAGTGACTTTTAAATAGATCAGAGGGCAAAGGTTTACTACGCAGATAACACTTAGATTGTAAGCTCCAAGGAGCAGGGCCCTCCTAATTCTCTTGTCTTGAACTGTATTGTTGCTGTATTGTCTCCCTTTATATTGTAAAGCGCTGAGCAAACTGTTGGCGCTATATAAATCCTGTATAATAATAATAATCACACCAACCATGTAAAATCGATTCTTTTTGAAGGAGGTGCATACGATGGTGGGATCAGGCTGGATGTTCAGTAGGGCGGGATTATCTGAAGCCTTCATCTCTATAGTGGTTGCAGCACGGTGCTTTTTAGCTGCCCCTTGGAACAGTGCAAGCTGCATCACCCTGATGTTTTCCTGCTTGCCAAGGATACGCACACACCTGCATTAGAAGCAAAGAGATTGTTATAATGGAGACAGAGAGGCCTCACCCTTTGCTGACTCAGAGAAATGAAAGTGATTCTACAGTAGCATAAACTAATCCCCAGCTAATCCCTGAATAATGAACATTACACTTTGCGCAGGAAGTCTCAGGATACTCTTAATGTCTGGCCTCTGGCAATATACTCTGTTTCCCCTTGTAAAGAACACATGGATCTTTTCCTAATGCTAATATACTGTTTTATGCTCCTCAGGGCTTCAACTGTTGCCAGGAAGAAAGAGAGCCTTGACTTGCTTTGTAGTGTATAGCAAAAGGAAAAAAAAAAAAAAAAAAAATCAAGTTTCTACTTTGAAGCTGGCAAGAAAAATATATTTAATAGAAGTTCTGTAACTGCAGTCACTGAAAAGCTCTGATGCTTTAATTACCTAATTAACTCTGTTTTCTCTTTAGAAAATGGCCAAGATCAGAAATGAAGACAGCAGATGAAATGACTAAATTGTAGAAGGCTTTATATGCTTTAGATCCTGTATAGCCCATAGATCAGTAAAGCAAAAATGGGGTCCCAAAATATATTACCGGGGCTTAAGTAGTTAAAAGTTATGTTCATGTTTTCTGCTGAAAATACTAATCGGAAAGCCCCTCAAAACAAAAAATTAGCAAAGCTACTGGAGTCCAGAAAACAATGCGTCAACACTTGACAAGCTGCATCATGAAAACCTCTGCTATAGATCAGATGGTCTAATTCAACATCTCTCTTAACCTTTCATCTTTGTGATAAATGGCCTAATCTTGGTAAGCACACAAATAAAATAACTTTTCTTCTTGTAAACCACAGAAGGGTAAAAGAAAAACAAAAAAAAGCATTGTCTGAAGAGGCAATCAAATTGTAGTATCCTCTGCACTGTAGTATAAAGACTTGACTGATGGCCACAAGAGGGCATAGTATATGACAGACTTCAGTGCAGAAGCAAATGGAAATGTAAAGTTCTAAGCATAAATTACTTGCAAGTAAATTTTGAAAAAAGGATTTTAAAGATACACTTTCAACAATCACTACAGTTCCTCTTTATAATGGAATACATTGTCTTAATTTTTGTTTAATTGGCTATACTTCTCCTTTCTTAATACTTTCTTAAATCACAGGACTAGGGTTGCCACCTTTATAACCTAACACATTAATTGCACAGGTTCTGGAGCTAATTTAATGCAGATAAGGCAGTTTAATTACCACCTTAGTCAGCCACAGAACCTGTGTAATATGTGTTCAGTTTCAGGGCTCATGTACACTGCAGCTGATAAACGCACGTTTAGGAGATGTTCAACTTTTTTTTCAGCAGCCCCTGAACTCGCCCTAATGGTTTCCTATGTGTCCATGTACACATCTTTATTTACAGTGGTTTTATTAAATGCAGAAAACTTGCGTTCAGCAGTCGATTTTATCAGCATTTACGATGCGGCTAAACGTGGCAAATTGAGTTTATAAGCATTTGTGTTTGACATTTTTTTTTTTTTAACTCTTCCAGTTCCCGATGCTATCCAGAGCCTTTTTTCAAAGCATTTTCAAGGTATTCAAATGGACAAAACACTGAATACAGGATGTTCCTATCAAGCTTGTCACACATTGTAATGACCAATTCACACCTCTCCCACCCTTGGAAACAAAAGATATGTTAATGACAATTCACACCTCAAATTCCTCATGAAGACTCCCTGCCAGGTGCCCTTAATGACTCACTCCACCAGACACCTTTCCCACCCTTGGAAACAAAAGAAATGTTAATGGGCAACTCACACCTAATCTCAACACATACTGCTATCTCTGCTTCTACTCTCTGTATTTCTCTGAAACAGTCTGAAATAGTTATTAATTTACCACTTTTCAGTGCATTCTGGGAATTTGGGGTTCTCCTGTGCTTATCTTTAAAAAAATGCTTCTAAACGCAAACACGCATAAAATGCGTTATGCAAACGCGGCTAAACAGATGTTTTTTAACCTACGTTTTCCAGCAGTCAGTTTCCATCGTTCAGAAGTGTCCCGTGTACATGGGGTCTTAAAGGGATGAGGTGGCAACCCTACACAGGACACAAGTGAGTCAATATTCATGATTTCTTGCGGTGTCCCAAAGCACTGAACATGAAACCAACAGAGGAACAAGGCTAACATGCCCATAGACTAAAACAGAATATGGAGAAAGCCTGCTGCAAGACCTTTTGACCAAAATTGGAGTCTACAGACATATAAATACCTGGTAAACATGGAGAGGACAAAGTAGCAGCCTTACTAACTTGAACAGATGCTTGATGAATACTTGACCAGGAAAGGTGGAAATGTTCCCTTGATACCATAGCTCATATAAGTTGATGAATCAACATAGAGATAGTGGATCGAGAAACCACTCGACATGAGTGCACTCAGGTAAAACAGGGAACAAACTGTCTGCATGAAGCAGCATCCTTCTGATAAACTCAAACAGCCTGAACAACATCCAAAAAGAGTGAAGCACCTTCTCCTTAGGGTGCTTAGAATTAAAGTAGTATGAAAAACCCTTTTTTGGCTATACTTCTCCTGTGGGTCACAGGAGTGCAGTCAATTCTGCACTCCTGTGACCCGCTTTCAGCCAACAGCGGGCTAAAGCCTCCTGTTGGCTGACGTCACAAAGCCAGTCCAGGCTCTGATAAGATACCGACCATATGGTCAGGATCCACTCAGAAACCTGGACCGTCACCTGGATCAGCCTCTCAGTGATCCACCGCTCCTTCCCCCTCCACAGCCCAGTACTCCAGTGAGCGCTTGGGGGGGGGGGGGGGGGGGCAGAGCCAGTTCTCTATCGGCTGAAGACCAAGAGCTGAGTAATCAGTGGTGTTTGATCATTCAGTTCTCGGTCTTAGAGGCAGCAGGGGACAGCTGCAGCTGTGATCGATGCTGCAGCCATCTAAGCGAGAATGATTTATTTTTGTGATTCCCAAACTTCTTTTAAAGACAAAAAAAATGGCAAAAGAATGTCCAGATTTAGGTGGCAGGAAAAAAAAAAAAAAAAAAAGACACTACCTTAGGTAAGAAAGAGGACTGAGGCTTCAACACGACTTTATCCTAGTGAACCACATAGAAGGGCTCCTTGTAGGCAGCCAGCCAGCCCAGAGGCTCTGCAAGCCAATATAACCAAAAAGACCATCTTGCTTGAAAGGAATGACAAAAGAATCTTAGAGGTTCAAAAGGGACAAGACCGCAAAAAAAACAGACAAGACTAAGTTAAAATGATACTAAAGGTTTTTTTTTTTTTTTTTAAATAACAAATATTCCAAGGCATCAGCCTAGAAGCTCAAGACTCTTCCAAAAATGGGCTACACGCTTCGCTCAAACTATAAAGGGTTTGACAAACTCTCACTGCAGCTATCAAAGTTGGAAGGGAGGATGCCTTGAAGACAGTTTTTATACTTAGAGTCTTTAAAGATTGGAACCCAATCCACTGGACTGTCGGGGTCTCATTTAAGTAGGAAATAGCTGGGCAAAAAGCCAGATAACCACATTTCTTGTACAATTTGGAGCTCAACATGTTGTCCTTCTTCCTACCTTGCCCCTACCTCTTTGCCTGCCTGAAGCCATTTCTTAATGAGAGTTAAAAATGGTCTGTGTACGCAGAGGGAAGCAGCCACGCAGCTGAGAAGAGGGTTGCCTGAAGCCAAATTACCCAAGTGGCAGTCACCCCAGTAGACAATGTTCCACTTGCTGTTCCTACAATTGTGGAACAAGGCTGGAGAAAAGAGATGCTAGGGAGCTGTGCAATGCATGTGTACTGTGTATAGGGAGCAGCTGAAAATGACAGACATGCAATTACATCATGCTGGACCTCCCCAGAGTACTCCACCATCACTGTATGTCACCTCAAGCACTGCCCAAGCAAATGATTCAAAGCACTTCCAGCACAATGACAAGTCACACAGAGTCAGGTGAAACCGCCACACAGTTCTACAAATCAGAGATGTTCAGCAGTCCAGCTGCAGAGCCAACAGGCCCAGTCTTCACCCATCATGGTGGGTGTGCCCTGCCGGGCCATTCAGAGACTCTACTCCCCTCACTGCTGTAAACCTGACATTACAGGCTATCCCTGCTCTTGACCTGCTGGCTACTTCGACCGATCCTGATAGAGCCCACCTCTGCCCCATTATGGTTGTAAAGAAAAGGCCATGAGAGAGATCTTCAGAAAGATATAAGAGGCACATCCCTCAAATAAGGACACTAGCTTAAAACCAAGACTTAGCCTGGGCAGGGATTCCTGCTTTTTTTTTTGCCCAGTGTCCATTCACCTGAAGGTGGTAGCATAACCTAATTAGTCCTGAATATTAACTCCTCTATTTCCTGTAATGTGCTATTAATACATTTAAATTATAATATTCCTGGCTTTTTCCTAGTATAGCTTCCAGAAGTCTAGAAGTGACCAGTAAAGAAAACAAAATAAATGCTGTGACTTGCTACTGTGCCAAAACACATGACTAAAGTAAGCCTTCAACCAGTGGTAGCAATCTACAGTGTATATATCACTAACAAATGGAATGCAAAGAATTATTTTAATAGCTGTATTTAAAACTTCATGTGGTGCAAAACAAATTTCTGACACTAGCATTTCACTCACCTCCCAAGTCCTATCAATCCTTAACCTCTGCAATACAGGGCACTTTCATCACCTTCTTGCCCAGGGAAATCTTCAGCTTTCAGTGCTCACACTTTGAATAACAATTGCGTGGTCATGCAACACTGTACCCATATGAAATTTTTATCAGTTTTTGAGACAGACAAAAGCTTTCTATCTGTGGTATTAATCATCACTGGGTTTTTTTATTTTTTGCATGACAGAAAAAAAGACCAACAATTTAAAAACGTTTTGGTTATAAAATTTTGCAAATTAATAATTTTTCTTCACTGATGTGCTCTGAGGCTGCACGGATATTCAGTGTCTGATCATCTGTGTAAACAATGTACTGAAACAGCCTTGCTTGTTATTGGTTCTCTTTTTCTCACAGACACAGAGGGATTGATTTACTAAAGGCAAATACACTGTGCACTGCAATTGAACTTAAATTGCAGTTGCTCTAGGTCCGAGGGAATGCTCTGCAATGATGGGAAGCTCTGCTGATTTCTATCATCCAATCATGCCCAAACAAAAATACTGTTTTCTATTTTCCTTTCATGTTCACTATGATCTAGAGCAACTGCACTTTCAGTGCACTTCCAAGTGCACAGCCTATTTGCCATTAGTAATCAACCCCAGAATGTGAGGAAAGGACTACCGATAACTGACAAGTCTGTTTACATGTGATCAGCTGTGATTGGACACATCTGATCATACAGTAATGGCTGCTGTGATTGGCCCTTTACTGCAATCTGTGATCAGCTGATGGGCACCCCTGGAGGACCGCACTGTAGGCGTCTTTCGGCAATAGTGTGGTGGGGAAGCGGTTAAAGTGATTGTAAAGGGCTTTTTTTTTTTTTTTTTTTACAAAAATGTCGTACTTACCTGCTCTGTCTCTCAGGTCTCCTGCCGGCACTCCTGACACCTCAACTACAGGGTCACTCGTGCATGCTCGCTCCCGAGCTGGTTCTGTGTGTCCATAAGACACACAGAATGTGACTTAGCCCTGCCCCCTCCTCACCAGCTGTGACTGAGAGCAGTGAGAGCCAATGGCTCCCACTGCTGTGTGAATGAGGAAGGAGAGATCCAAGGAAGTGGTTGCTCCAGTGCACATCCTTGAATCAAGATTGGGCACAGGTAAGTATTGGGAGGGCTGAGGTGGAAGGGGGAGCTGCATACTGAAGGTTTTTTGCCTTCATGCATAGAGGTAAAAAAACCTTCAGTCTTTAAAACAACTTTAAAGTGTTACTAAATTTTTTTTAAATAATAAACATTATATTTGCCTGTTCTGTGAAACGGTTTTGCATGAACCTCCTTTTCTGGGGAGACTCGCCAGCGACCTTGGCTCTTCCTCTTCTTCTCATGCGCCCATAGTAAGCAGCTTGCTATGGGGGCACACAGTGTATATGCTCACTACTGCGCTGTGTCTCTATGGAGCTGCGCGATATAGACACACACAGCGGGGCTGCTTCCTGCTTCCTCCTCACAGCATTTAAATGAAAGCAGCAGCAGTCACAAGCAATCTTTACGGAGCAGGTATAGACAGGGCCGCAGAAAAAAAAACCCATAATAAAAAAAAAGGTAGTAGTTACAAGGATGGTTAGGGATGTTGGTTTGTTTGTTTTTTTCCCCTGAACAAAATAATGTTTAACAGGACATAATAGACAAAGAGAAAGAAAATATCAATAATTGGGCATAGATCTAAAGTACAGCTCCAGTCAAAACGTACAAAAATTAAACGTCATCAGCTACAAAAACTGTTCCTCGATCCAGTGGTATGCTCACCGTAGCCGGTTTCACCAGCTGTCCTCTCTCCCTGGCGATGGCATCTTAAGTGTGGGTACTCAATTGTGACAGCTTGCGGCTTCACAGCTGGGTGCGCACTACGCAAGTAGCGCAGCATTTTGCAAATGGTCCCATAGTTTTCTGGGACCTATCAAAATCGGGTTCCCTGCTCCCCCCCACTCCTCAAAAGTACCAAGTCCTAATGGGGAGTGGGGGATGAGGCATTAAAGCGGAACTTCCCTTTTAGGTGAAGCTCCGCTTTAATATTACCAATAGCCACACAAGACACATTAGAATAGGCCAAAGAGGTCCCAAAAATCACAGTATTACCAACTGCTACAAGGTATGGGTATCATGTACACAATATTCATGTAAAATTAAACATGTGTGGAAGTAGTACACAGGGCAAATCAAACTGGACTTTGAGTTACTCAAAGAGGAAACTACTCAGATGTGGTATAATCACACGCACATTACAGTGGACTGCAGCTAACCATTTAAAACCTTGTTGTACTTGGATAGGCAACCACTATGGCTGCATACAAATGTATTATTTATTTTACAGATCTAAGCCCTCAATTTAGGGGGTACAGATCTTGCTATCAATTCCTAACTTTAAATAAAGTTTCAAGTAAAGACATTTTGGTGAGTTTGTCCCGATCTGGGTTAGGAAAAAGACCCAACAAACATTGTTTAGGGTGCAATGTTAAGGGGGAGCTCATGGTGTCATGAAAGAATTTAACAACCTGTGTCCAATATTCCTGCATAATAGAGCAAACCCATAGTAAATGGTAAAAGGTACTGGTGCTAAGGTTACACATAAGGATACATGATACTGTGGGCACACTTATAGCGGGCTAGTCTAAGTGGGGTGAGAAAGGAGCGATGCATAATATATAGAGTGAGGCAATCCGATAGGCGACTCTGCCTCGCTCCAGTCTTCATCATACATCTCTCCCACATCAGATACCAAGCGCACCTTGACCCTGTAGGCCAAGTTAGATGCAGAGGGCAGGAGTAACATACTATAAAACGTGGAGATCGGTTTTTTGGGTTTCCTCCCCTTTAATCACCTCCATAAAAAGGAAAGGACACTGGCTGTGAGCAAGTAGAAAAAAAGATAATTGGACTTGTAGGGCATGATGAATTTGTAAGTATCTAAAAAAAATAAAAATAAAATATGATTGGGCAATGACAAATCTGCCTTCAAACTATCAAATGTTTTAAGACTTCCAGAGGATAAAAAGTGATGGAGGAAGTATATGCCCATAGCACTCCAAAGATCGGCATTAGGTATTGAGAGGAGTTCTGGGAGAGATTTATTGTGCCATAGGGGAGTGTAATCATTAAACACCGGAATTTCCAGTTTGTTAGACGCCAGATGTCAAATTCACCTGTATGGATACAAAAGAGAGCTTCGGTCTCCAGGCATTACAGACCCCTGCAAACTTCATGCAATGTCACTGAAAGGGTCAGGAGGACAGTTGTGTCCAGGTAGGGCAAAGAAGGGTGAAAAACCTTACCTTGTCTATGTCAAATGGATGTGACATTTGGGCTGCGATATAATAAAGGTTAAATTCTGGGAGAGCTGCCCCTCCAAGATCCGTTGGGTTTTTTAAACATACGCCAAGATGGCTTTAGAACCACTTTAAATATAAAATGATCTCCCTTATATATACCTGACTTTTCAGCTCTCACTCGTCTCTGGACCTGGTAATAAATTTTGACACAGCTCAGAGTCAGATTTACAGATCAGGCTTTCTACCTAAGCAGGCAGTCACTTCCTGCATACGTGATGACTTCACCAAGGATCGAAGTACAGCACCAGAACTGGATCTGCACACAGCCAGGACCGCTGTAAGGAAAAATTAACGTGGGAAGGTATATTTTCACCTTAGGATAGTTAGAGGGTGGGCAATAGGCAAGTTTCTAAAATAGATATTGGTTGTTTTTCTATATTACAACTCACCTGTTTGTTTCTACGTTAATCACTTTAATACCAAGCATTGTCCCGTACAACACAAAATGGCCAGTCTCATCAAAAATTATGTTAATTAGTTTAATGGCATCCACTTTCTCCAACTCCCTCTCCACAGCCATGCGCCTCCCAAATTCCATGTCTGGTAGCTGTTGTCTCATTTGCTGCAACTCTGTAAACATCTGTAAAAAGAAGATCACAATCAAGCCTGGAATCAATGCGTTTATTGTAACTGTAGATCTGTAGATGAGCACCATGTTGGTTACTGTACTGTGTTGAGCCCTCATTTTAAGTTAAACGAAAAAAAAAAAAAAAACCATGCACACATTTCATCTCTCCCCATGTTTCATCACTTTAACAAACGTACAGAAGAATATGTGTGGATTTTGCCAGAAATTCACTCTGCTTCTAAGTTCTGTTGTGGGATGACAACACACAGCATTTTGGCAAATCAACATAGTGGCATCAGAAGCGTCCAGTTTTCATTTGCTAAACTCCTACTGTATATCTCACCTCTTTTTCCCATGTCCACAACATAGGCACTAATAGACCTGTAGTCCAAGATAAGAACTAGGAGGGCTAAACAGGCTTATTTGACAACACAGGGAGTTTGGACAGGACAGCTATACATTTCTGACAAAACATACTTTCAATATTATTTTCTGAAGACCAAAAGGGAGCAAAGAAGAGAAGTTCATTGTTTGGGTTTACATACACTTTAACCACTTGCCCTCCTGAGGATTTACCCCCCCTTCCTAACCAGGCCATTTCTGCGTTACGGCGCTGCATTACTTTAACTGACAATTGCGCCGTCATGCAACGCTGCACCCAAATGCAATTTACGTCCTTTTTTTCCCCCACAAATTAAGCTTTCGGTGGCATTTGATTGCCTGTGCGTTTATTTTTTTGCGCTATTAAAAAAAAAAAAAAAAAAAAAAAACAATATTTTTTTTTACTTTTTGCTATTAAAACATGTCCAGTAATTTCTTTTTTCAAAAATCAAATTTCGGCATCAATTTAGGCCAAAATGTATTCTTCTACATGTCTTTGTTAAAAAAAATCCCAATACATGTAAATTAATTGGTTTATGTGAAAGTCATAGTGTTTACAAATGGCGGTATATATACACAGGGATTTTTAGTAATGGTGGCGATCAGCGATTTATAGCGGGACTGCAGCGGACATTCTGGACACTGGGGGGAACTGACTTTGTATCACTGACATCCCCAGTGATGCCAATACAGTGATAAGTGAAAGAAAAACCGCACTGACACTATACTAAAGGCACTGGGCAGGAAGAGGTTAACATGAGAGGAGATCAAAGGGTTAACTGCATGCTGGGTATGTTTTACTATGGGGCAGTGTCTGTGTGCTTCACTGTAAGCACACTGCTTTGTATGGCTGTGCACAGCCATCCAAAGCAGTGTGCCCGAGCTGATAGGGTGGAGAACTGTTAGTAAACAAAACAGTTCTCCTCTCCATAGGAGATCCTCAGTGATCACCAGGCGCCGGCGAGTATTGAAAGCCATGGCCGCGTGTATATATACACGTGATTTTGCGTACCCATGCCGCTCTGTAGTAGTATTTCTGCTATAGGGCGGTCAGGAAGCGGTTAAGTAGGAGTCCTAAAAAATACAAGGAAAACACTGACAGAATGTATTCGGACTAAACAGGGGGGCCTTCCATATGGCAGGCATCACAAGGATCTTGTCATAAGACCACAAATTCTCACTGAACAGCTGTCATACAGCCTAAATAGAACATGCCCTCCTGCTACTCTTATATTGTTCAGCTTCATGCTAAAAACACAAACTATACCAATTAGAGACCACAGAGTCTTCGAACACTGCTGTGTAAAAAGTATGGAACTACCTACATCATATGGGATCTTTTACCACTTGCCTCTCCCACACAGTAGATTTACGGCAGTGGGACAGCAAGTCCAGGCTCAGTCATGTATATATACACGTGATTGAGCCTGTGCCCATTTAGGGGCACGCAGTGAGTCCCTCCTGTGACTAATATGCCCACCAGACACAGCGGATCAATGTTACTTGTAAACTGATTATCATGTGATAGCTATGTTTTGTCATAGCAATCACATAACAATGTACAACCTGTCATGAATGGGGTTTCATTCATGAACAGCTTGCTTACTATTGTGATCGATGATTGGCCCATAGCAATCACATGGTACCTGGCTACCTGTACCATGTGATTAGCTTAGCCAATCAATCACAGATCACACCAAAAGCAAGCTGTGCATGAATGGTTAACCCAATCATGACAGCTAAAACTCCATCTGAAGCAGTCATGATTGGATGACAAAACGCGCCAAGGGCGTGGCTAGAGGATAAGGAAATGCTTATTTAAAAAGGCATTTGATTATATGTGCACAGGATGGAGTGCACTCTGAGATTTTTAACCCTTTTTTTAATAAAATTAGCTTGGTGAGCTGCTGATCTATTGTGCAATCAGACTTTTTTATCTATTCCTTTGAGCTATACATGGAGAATCAGTGTTTGTAAGCGGACAAAGACACAGATAAAAGCCACATGTAAAGATAGCCCCTTCATAAAGGGGAGGCGTAATCTGGCCTAAGTTTGGATGGAAGAAGCACTGTTTTGGTACTGATCTGCAAAATAATCACTATGCACATTTGTTTTGGACTTAATTTTAATGGTGGAGGAAAAGGTGGACTTTATATATGGTTTATATTAGTTATTTTTTACAGACGTAGATATATATCTATTATGGACTTTGCACTATAATTTTAAATAAATCAATAAGACATAAAAGCTCTTGTTCTTCTCAAAGAAGAAATGTCTGGGTTGCCCCCAATAACCAAGCAGATTCTTTTCCATTGTTCTATGGCAGGAAAAAAAAGAACAGAAGAACTGATGTGATAAACAGAATATTAAAGTAACTTTACTGCATCCAAGCACAAAAAAACGCTATTTAATTCATTTTTAATATTCAGAGCAAACTCTCCAGCCATGTCTCCATGCTTCATTTTGCTGAGAAATCACATAGAAACCCCCCCCCCCCCCTAGCATTTCTGGCCATGGCCATGTTGAGTAAGGGCAGATGATTCATGTAGCATTTACTTCCTGCAGTCCATCTGCTCTTAGCTCAGGAATGGAGGCAGGAGGATGTACTAATCCTTTTTACTATATTAAAAATAAACCATTAACTTCTTTCCTTTAACTTTCGATTGAATAACATGAGGAAATGTTCACATGATAGGGATAGCAGCTCATTGACTGCTTTCACCTGTTACCTGGAACTGTTGTTAAACATGATCAGTTACTATGGATCACTGCCCCTTAAACATTCCTGCTGAAATTTGTATTGTTTACTGAATAAGCCAGAAGGTGCATTACAGCAATTTTAATATGCAATAGATATTAAAACTGAATGGTTTGTTGGTTGCTGCTTGTAAAGACACTACAATGGGAAAGTTGCAGGATTTCCCAGTTCCCAAATAGGACAGAGACAGAAGGAAGAAGAAAAAAAAAATTGACAGGCTCTAACCCTCTGCCACTCAATTGAAAACCATTCTGGCTGGAGCTACACTTTAGGGCCCTTTCACATTAGGAATTGCATGTGAATTGCACAGGAACGCTGTGCGGTTTCTGTGAGATCGACAAGTTCTGTGCAGTGCGATTTCAGTCCCATTCATTCTGAATGGGCTGAATTTGCATGCACTACTTCTTGAAACGCACGGTAGCCAGATAGCATTGTACTTTTGTAGTAACAACTGTAGCATCAGGCTGCCACATAACAAAACTGAAAAAAATGGAGGTCTGAATACTTCATGAATGTACTAAAATTCAGATTCCAAGGTCCATTTTTTGGGACTGGTAAAATCAAAAGACATTGGACAAAATCTAATTTGAAGGGTTATCCAAGGAGGATACATATTGGATTTACAGGCTCTGTGAAGTGAATACAGAGAATGAAAATTGTGGAAAGTGATAATGATTTTCTATACATATGTTCATTTGAGTTATAAATGTAGAAAAGAAATAAACTAAATTTGTCTGGAAAGGGTGGTAAAGCAAGAGTTAGGAGTATAACTAAAAGGCAAAGCGTTTTTTCAGATCTTAAATAAAATGATGAGGGGTCAGAGCCCATGTCAGGTTTTTATTGTTGTCCTCTTTGACCCCCGTTCAGAAGATTCACCCTCTATAATCATCCTGAACAATAACGTCACCAGGGATGAAAGGCTAAATCAAACTATGAATTGCTACCAGAAAGGAAAAGGGGAAATCTTCCTGTTGATCCTGTCACAACTGTCTAAGAGGGATTAGTCTCACATTGGAAAGATATCTTACTTCCTGTTGAGTCTACAAGACAGAAGTGAAGAGAAATCTCCCTAATAAAACAGAGATGGCAAAAAAACTAAATTTTAGCTAAGCCTCACTAAGCAGACCCAAAAAGTGCCCAACTGACAAACTACACTGTGGAAGTGTACATATATTATATATCATGTCTATGGGTGTTTTTTCAGTGCAAATATGTTCCAAAATATTCTTTAAAAATGCATTATTGTTATTAAAGGCATGTCCCTCACGTTGTATTGCTGTACATGCCTCTAAAGAAATATGGTGGAGTAAAGGACAGCTCACACTACAAAAATGCACTCCGGATATGTTTTTGCTTACAGTTCACACAAACGCAGTTCCGGTGCAGTTTTGATGCAGTTTGTTTGTTCCAGTATGGTTCAGTGCAGAAAAAATGCAGCATGTTTTTTTTTTTCTGCACTGGAAACTGACTGGAACTGACTGCACTAGTGTGAACTAGGGCCATTGGAATACATGGAAAACACTGTGCATGTATTTTTGATGCAGAAAAAAGTGCACTGAACTGCATCTAGTGTGAACTAGCCCTAAAGCTCAATCATGGTTATTGAGAATTGCATGGAGAGCAGGACATGTATTAGTAATGTATGAACATCCAATGACATACATCAGGCCAATATCTTCCAATAACTGTTCTGTCTTTTTGGGTAAAAGCAATGGAGGGCAATAGGGTATACTGTAAATTATATGTAAACCAAGCCATGTGCGTAATAATTTCTACAGTGGCTGGTAACTAGCTAGAGGCAGCAGCAGTGGCTGAACTGTACAAGACTTACACTGATCAGCCATAACTTTATGACCATCCACCTGATATTGAGTAGGCCCCCCTTTTGCTGCTGAAACAGAACTGACTTATCAAGGCATGGATGCCACTAAACCTCTAAAAGGTATGCTGTAGTATCTGCCACCAAGCCATATCACCAGCTGATCCTTTGAGTCCTGTAAATTGTAAGTTGAGGGCCTCCATGGATCAGACTTGTTTTTCTGGCATATTTCACAGATGCTCATTTGGATTGAGTTCTGGAGACTTTGGAGGCACCAACAGCTCAAACCTGTGGTTGTGTTCCTCAAACCATGCTTGAACCATTTTCTGCACCATGGTAGAGTGCTTTATCCTGCTGAAAGAGGCCACTCTCAATTATGGAATACCATTTGCTTAAAGGGGTGTACTTGATCATCAACAATGTTTAATAGGTGATATGTGTCAAGTGACATCCACAGGAATGGCAGATTCCAAGGTTTCCCAGCAGAACATTGACCAAAGTATTGCACTGCCCCTGCATACTTTCCTTCTTCCCATACTATGCACTGGTGCCACAATTTCCCCAAGTCAGCGACACACACGAACCTAGCCATCCACATGATGTAAAAAGTTGTGATTCATCAGACCAGGCCGCCTTCCATTGCTCTGTGGTCCAGGTCTAATGCTCACGTGCCCATTGTAGGTGCTTTTGGCTGTGGACAGGGGGTCAGCCTGCGCACCCTGACTGATGCCCATTTTTGCTGCTTTAAACACATTAACTTCAGGGACAACATGTTTACTTGCTGCCTAATATATCCTACCAACTTTCAGATGCCATTGTAACAAGATAATAAATGTTACTCACTTAACCTGTCAGTGGTCATAAAGTTATGGTTGATTGGTGTATACATACAAGCAACAATTTTATAGGCTACTACACAGGCACCAGCTTTATATGATTTTGTCATCTGGAGGCCAGCATCTAACTCTAATCTAGTAGATGCTAACTCTGGATGATGCCTATACTAAGATGGAGCCTTCCCTCAAAATAGAAAAAGAGGAAAGCGTTGTCAGAGGAGTACTGTTATCTAACACAGAGGTTATAAATACCTGTTATACATTACTGAACAAGTATGCACATGTTAACATATCTGCTGCTAGATCTGCTTTGATATGGGGAAGTCCATTATTCACTATGGCACAGCCCAGATCATGCTTAACAGATTTAGCGGAAGCTTGATGGGAAAACATTGTGAACTTGGTAAAACCAGGTATTAAGAACGTGTTTTTTGTCTGCATCTGAGATCTTTAGTTTTGCTGGTTATCTGAATGTGAACGGCAAGTTTTTTCAAAAATGTAATTATCCTTTAACCTCCTCCCGCCCGCCATATAAGGTAATGACGGGTGCAAGGTGGTTCTCTTCTTCTGGGAGGATGTCATATGACGTCCTCCCACTCTAACCGCACATGCGTGGCTCTGGGAGCGCGCAGCCCGGGGATCAGTGGTGCGCTGTGTCCCTCGGACACAGCAGATCACCGATCAACGGAAAGTGTGCATCAGTGCCACCTAACAGTGCCATATATGAGTGCTGCCTTTCAGCGCCCATCAGTGATGCCTGTCAATGCCCATCAGTGCCACCTACTAGTGCCTCATCAGTGCAGCCTATCAGTGCCCATCACTGCAGACTCATTAGCACACATCAGTGAAGGAGAAAAATCACTTTACAAAATTTTATAACAAAAACTATGAAAAAAAACATTTTTTTTTTTTCAAAATTTTCAGTTGTTTTTGGTTTGTTTAGCAAAAAATAAAAAACCAAGAGGTGATTAAATGCCACCAAAGGAAAGCTCTGTCTTTCATAAGGGTACAGTGCTGCATGGCCGCGCAATTGTCATTCAAAGTGTGACAGCGCTGTAAGCTGAAAACTGGCCTGGGCAGGAAGGGGGTATAAGTGCCCTGTAGGCAAGTGGTTAAAGGCAATTTGATCACAAACTAATCATAAATCCAAATAGTAATGTCATATTACTTACGCTTAAAGACTCATCAAAGACTCTCATTAGCTTCCCAGTTAAAAAACGAAAAATGCGCACTTTTCTGTCAGCTCCAATAGTGGCCATCTTTTTACCATCCGAGGAGAAATTTATTCCAGTCAAACAAGTTTTACACTTGGCAAACTCATACAGATCAGTGTCCGTTTTGTATTCCCAGTTGATATTATTGGGGAATTTGTACCCACGAGGAGGTCCAGTCCAATACTCAATCATCCCACTCTTGTCTGAAGACACAACCACTTTATAACCTGGGTTCAGTCGGATTGCTGTTAGAGGTGAGGAGTGCATCTTCTCAAACACATGCATAGGTTTATTATCTCCCCGACCATCATAAATAAAGATTTTCCCTGTACTTTTTTCAGAACATGCCACTGCTGAGATTGCATCTCCAGGACAGTATACCCACTCTGACTGCCCAGGGTGATAGCTGGAATAAACAGGAAAACATGGGGTCAGGGACACTGTAAAAAGTCAGCAGGGGGGTAGTAAAAAAAAAATCCATAGCAATACCCAATTCCCTGAACCCTACACACACCCGTGTTTCAAAGAGAAGAGCTCCAGTAGAGCTATATGTATGGTAACTAAAACAACCTTTTCCTACACCCCTTAGACTTAATCAGCACTTAGTCCTTGCAGGGGGCCCAATTGCCCCTATATTCCCCCCCCCCCCCCCCCCCACAAGTTCTGCTTTAAGCATATTACCAGTTTAAAGCAGAGCTCCAATCCCTATAAATCAATTTTTTTTTTTAAAATAGCTCCTCCATTATTTTTAGAACTTGTACATTATTTTTGAAAACTGTAATAACTTATCATGCTTGTTATTTTTAAATCTTTAATATTTCACCTGATCTCGGAACCAGGCAGGGGCCATCAAGGATGTGGGCATCTGAAGCCCACTAATGTATATTTCCGGGATTAGGTGCCGCTGGCTATCCCAGCATACACCTCCCGATCTTGTGCCTGCGTCAGCAGAAGTTCCCGCCCCGTTGTTATGGCAACATGTCAATCAAAGGCTTCCAGAGGACTCCTGAGATAGAGAACCCCGTCTAGGCAGCCAGGACTGGAAATGCCCGTTCTGATATCTTAAAATAAGGTTTGTAGAAATGCAAAAAATATACAAATTTCAGAGTGTAAACCACGAGGGAATTCAAAATAGAGAAGCTCTTTAAAAAAAGGGTGGAACTCCGCTTTAAATAGCTTATTGCAGAATTTATTTCAACAGTGCAACTGCCAGGGTATAGTCATAGCATATTGTACCTACCCAAGCTTCAACATGTTGATCATGTCAAAGTTGACCACATCAAAGACTTTCATTGCTTGGTCATCACCCACTGTGCACAAAAGAGCTCCCTCTGAACTGGCTGCAATGCTTTCTATAACACCTGTATCAAGAGAATAAGAAATCAATTCCACTGTTATAACTGCAAGAACATTTTTATGTACCTAGGGTTGTACCGATACCGGTACCGATACTAAGCATTTGTACAAGTACTTGTACATGTTAAAATGCTCTGATAACTAATACCAATACCTTTGCAGTGCATTTTGACCCCATACTAAATGAATGGGCTCAAATCGCACTTAAAAAAAAAAAAGCATGTGATTTGAACAGGAATGCAGCGCGATTCCTGTCCGAATCACATGCAGTTTCCACCACCACTCCTATGTGAACCTAGACTTGTCACAGTGACTTCAGCCTGGGTTCACCCAGGAGCGGTGGGGGAAACCACATGTGATTCAGACAGGAATCGCCCCGCATTCCTGCTGAAATCACATGCAATTCTTTGCAGTGAGATTTGAGCCTATTCATTATGTATAGGCTCAAATTGCACCGCAAAGGTATCGGTAATTGGTATCGGTGAGTACTTAAGCACAAGTATTGGTACTCGTACACACCGGTAAACAAAAAAAAAAAAAAACATGTATTGGTGCATCCCTATATGTAACGTACCAAATATCAAGAACTAACTACTATGCATGTATACAGGTCGGGGTTACTGCACACATCAAATGGATCCAACTACCCCCGTTTGCACATGTTGTATATTCCTTTAAAGTAGACTTAAAAGTAGCATATCAAGACAGAAACATGAAAGCAGCCATTCCATTGACTACTTTTTTTTCATAAAAATGCTGATTCTAGAGTAGGTATGTTAATATTTCTTTCCTTGCCTATGTCACAGAGCTTGAGCAAGCACCTGCATACCACGTGCTATCTTTTTGCTACATCTTTTACATATCACCCGTCAAGAAAATGTTTGTAGGTCACACCAGCATCACATACTTCACAACCCATCCTTCCCGAGATGCCAGAGAAACAGTCAAATAGTATTAAAGCACATAGGGAAAGTGTGCTTTAATATATTTGAGCCCCTCATGACATCCTGTCAGACAAAAAATGCTGGGCAAAGCTTCTGACATTGAGCGATTGACGTTACTAACTGAACAAACTTCCCTGTGATTAGACTGAATTGAGGAAACTAATCCTACAACTATTCAGGTGGAGTGCTTTGGGTCTTGGAATCACAACAGTGATTATACTTTGATACAAACAGGTGCGGTATTTGGTAAGGCAGCACTTTCCTTACTTCATTGATGTGATTCACACTGTCAAGATCTCATACACAATGAACCTTCTTCATGTCTAAATTAAATTACTCTGCTGTGTTCACCGATCCTTGGTGGTTTTGAATAATGAAGACTTGGAAGATTTTTGTCTATGTATGTTTATATACATTAACGATGCTTTATTTTGTAAAGGATAGCATTTCACATGATATGCTTATAATGCTGGGGGGGGGATTTACTAAAACTGGAGCACCAAGAATGTAGTGCACCTGTGCATAGTAACCAATCAGCTTCCAGGTTTTATTGTCAAAGCATAAATGAACAAGCTGATGTTAGAAGCTGATTGGCTACTATGCACAGCTGCGTCAAATTCTGTGTGCTCCAGTTTTAGGCTTCTTTCACACTGATCCGCAGAAAGAACTATCACAGATCTGTAGCAAATTTTTTTGTAACGCACCAAAAATGCAGCAAGCGGGATTTAAAAAAAAAAAAAACATGTACTAGAGACCGCAATGGATCAGTGTGAATAGTTCTATAGAAATACATGGTCACGTGTTTTTCTTGCAAAAGTGGAAGAAAAATGGATCAGTGTGAAAGCAGACTTAACCGCTTCCTGACCACCTATAGCAGATATACTGCTACAGGGCGGCAGGGGTGTGCAAAATAACGTATATATATATGCCATTCGCGGCTGCCTATCACCAGGTCCTGGCCGGTGATTACCCGCTGGCGCCTGGTGATTACCCAGCATCTCCAATGGGGAGGAGGACGGCTTTGTTCACTAACAGTCCTCCTCCCTATCAACTCGGGCACACTGCTCTGGATGGCTGTGCACAGCCCCCTATTTAAAAACACTCCCTGCACACAGTTAACCCTTTGATCTCTCTTCATGTTAACCCCTTCCTGCCCAGTGCCATTAGTACAGTGTCAATGCTTTTTTTTTTAGCACTGATCACTGTATTGGTGCCGCTGAGGATGTCAGTGACACCAAGTCAGTTCCCCCCAGTGTCAGAATGCCTGCTACAGTTCTATCTCTGATTACTAGCAAAAGTTAAAAATTGAAAAAAAATTCCGGTATCTATACTGCCATTTGTAAACACTATAACTTTCACGTAAACCAATTAATTTACACGTATTGAGATTTTTTTTTTTTTTAGCAAAGACATATAGCAGAATACATTTTGGTGTAAATTTATGACGAAATTTGATTTTTACATTTTTTTTTACTGGATATGTTTAACAGCAAAAAGTCAAAAATATTGTTTTTTTTTCTCAAAATTGTCGGTCTTTTTTTTTTTTGTAGCACAAAAAAAAAAAAAAAAAATGCACAGGTGATCAAACTCCCAAAAGAAAGCTCAACTCGTGGAGACAAAAAGGGCCGTAAATTTCATTTGGGTGCAGCGTTGCATGACCGCGTAATTGTCATTTAAAGTAACGCAGCGCCGTAACGCAAAACAATAGCCTGGAAGGGGGGGGGGGGCAAAGTGGTTAATAAATCTCCCCCTAGATGTTTTTTGAACACAGGATTTTTCATTTCATAAACAAGTTTTGATTGCAACACCTGATGTAACACCTGGTATCTTGTTTTGAATACAGGACTTTTTTTCCGCTTTGAATGTAATACTTTATGCTTTAACTATAACATTTAGTTTATGCTGGGACACTTCAAGTTTTTACCTTAAAAGGCAACAGAAAGCCCTAAATTTTTACATACAAAATATTCTAAAACCTTTATCACTGAAAGAGTCAAATCTTTACTTCTTCATAGTACTGTTACTAGTATCCTAGTATCTTCTTCAGTACCCGTTTGCCACAAATGTTCCAAAACACACAAAGGAAATGCATGCTAAGATTTATTTGTTTAATATGAAATAATTAATAAAACCAATTTACTTAAATGACTCCGGAAATGTTTCACAAACTCAATTCCTTCTTCCACTTTTTTCCAGAACTTCACATGTCCATCATGGCTTGCAGTTATGACGAAGTCTGTCCTGTTTAAAAAAAAAAAATATGATCCATATTGATTACTTGTTATCTGAAGAAGATAAAAACCAGTCTAACACTTACTATAAAGACAGGACTCACTTACTTGGTGCAAACAATGTGGGTGATAACATCCCGATGCATGTAGCTGCGTTCATACATTGAAGCACTTGGCAGGTTGTCCAAGTAAACATGCTCAAACTCTAGAACTGGAGCGAAGGTAAAATCTATTACATAAACTTTGCTACTAAAAACATCTGTTAAATTTGCTATATCCACTTTTCTGGCAAATTTGATATTGTTAACCAGCTAAAGACACTAGGCAAATCCTCATCTTATACCTACGCATGCTGCTGATGCGACTTGAAACAATCTGTTAGCAGAATTTGTGCTCTGCAACTCATAGTTGCTCTCAGTTAATTCAACTATGATTGATAATACAGCTGTTCCCCCAATGTTTTGTAAGATGTAAATGAGTGCCGTGTATACCACAGTACAGCTTAAAACAGAAGGTAACCTTGTGTCATTCTATCATATACCCCAAAAAGAAGAGTAGTCCTTTTTTCAGGACAGCGGGCAAAGCCATACAAATCATCACTTTTCACCCCTTTAGCAAGATACACATCCAGAACCACTGGAGTACAGTGCAAAATACAGTCTAATATTATAGAGACATTTCTTCCAAATTGCATACAGCTGTTTGGGGCTATTTGGCCCCCATCAGTGCAGCGTATGGAAACCTTGGTTTTTCTGGAGTAGGGCTTAGAATCCAATGAGATAATATAAACATAACCTATAGGCCCCTTTCACATGGGTGTTCCATTTGTCCGTTTTTTTTTATCCATCCATTGATGGATAAAAAACAGACATTAATACATCTCTATGGAAAAACGGATGATCATCTGTTTTCATCTGCGTCCGTCAACATCTGTTTTTTTTAAACGGATCAAAGCCCTATTTTTGTTGCATTAAAAAAACAGAATGGACAAAAAACAGATGTAAAACGGACAGTCTTTTTTTGCGTTAGCAGTGTGTGTAAATAACTATGTAAAAACAATCCATTTTTTCTTCAAACAAATGTGACTGACCTGATAAAACTAAGAGAACGTCCATGGAAAAGAACCCATATGATTAGGCTGTTTTCACACGGGTCAGTTTTTGTTCCATTTATGTAAAAAAAAAAAAAAAAAAAAAAAAAAGGCAGGAGAAAAACGTGTGACCATGTATTCCTATGAAACTCTTCACACTGATTTGTTGTGGGTCAGGTGTGTTTTTCCAAGATCTGCTTGCTGAATTTTTGGTGCAGGTTCGGTCCCCCGTAAAGAAAAAAAAATAAAGAAAAAACGCACCTACCCATTGACGTCAATGGAAAATGTGGCAAAAAGGCATAAAAACATGCGGTGCGTTATTGGTGCAGTTTTTTAGTCACAAGTCATGTTAAAAATGCACACAAAAAAAAAAAAAGTGTGAAAGTGGCCTTAGTGCCCGTTCACATATATGCTGACTGGATGCGCGTGAACTGCATCCAATCTGCATGAAATTTAAAAAAAAAAAAAAATTTGCTTCTTATGGTGCCTGTTCACACATATGTTCGGTGCACATTCAGTGCGATTTTAAAAAGAGTCATGTCTGATTTCTGAGCAGTGCAGTCAGGTTCAGATGCGGATTACAGGTCTATTGACTTCTATGGGAAACATTTCTAAACCGCACATATGTGAACAGGATAAGAACCTGAGCTAATCCTGTCCTGAACCTGATGTATGTCTGACGTGTGTTAATCAGCTCTGTCTCTAAAATGTAACACACGGATACAATGTTTCAGTCTGCATCTAACAGTAAGGCACCTTTCACACAGGCATTCTGATCAGGTCCGCCCTATGGACAGGTGGGTGTAAACAGATATGTGTCTGTTTACACCCACCTTCCTCTGAGTCCGTCCATTTCCAGATAAATAAACGGAAAAGAAATGTGTCCTTTTCTGTTTTTTCGGACTAAATCAGAGGTAGCCATATATAAACAGACAGCATTCCAGTCCATTTATACCAGGCCTCCCCTAAAGCTGACAGGGGTCTGCCCACTCAGGTCATGTGATCTCCCGTGTCAGCCAGCGGCGGCTGCAGGGGAGCTGGATCACGTGACTGAACCAGGCTGAAAATAGGCAAGCATATATACATTTTTCTTACACGTTAATCAGCATTAGGTGTTGGGGGAGTTTTAAGGCTAGTTAAGATGAAGCTAGAATTCCACTTTAACTTTCAATAAAAACTTACCGAAACACAAACAATGGTAAGCAGAATTGCTACTAAAAATACACACGTATAAAAGAAAAATAAACAAACAATAACGTCATGCACATTGAGGGGAAACAAATACTGTAATCAGCTGAACAATAAACACTTTGGACTCTCAGCCTGGGTTCACACTTGTGCAGGGCGGCATATCGCATTTGGATCGCACAGGAACCGCACCGTACTCCTGCGCAAATCACATGAAAATTCTGTGCAGTGTGATTTGAGACAAACATGTTGCATGGCTCAAAATCGCACTGCATCCGCACCAAAAAGGTGCAGGACCCTTTTTTTTTTTAAAAAAACACACACACCCGCAGAGATTCGCATGAACGGGGTGCAATTGTGATGTGGTGCGGAATTCACACAGAAACTAGTGCGAATTCCGCACCAGTGTGAACCCAGGCTCAAGGATTTTTCATTTGGCCCTGTGACCTCTTACACTTGGATGTCTCAACTTTGTCTACATTTTGATAACCAGCAAAAATCTGTGTGCATTGCCCCTCTTCCACTACCTCTTAGGTTTTTACTACTGTTTGTGGTCCTATTAGGAAGATTCACCCACTCGATTTGTCCAGTTCATCAATATCACCAATAGTGATGAGCTCAGGCATGTTTGGACATGAGTCTGAACCCGCCTGAGCTGTCTTACCAGGCAGCTGTCAAAGCTGACAGCCAATCATAGGTGGTGGAGACTTTTGCTGACCGCAGCCCCACGTAGACAAGGGGTGTGTATACATGCAGCCATGGAGAAAGGAATTTCTCCAATACTTTGACAGTTTCCCAGTGAGACAGCTCAGGCAGGTTTGGACTTGTGTCCAAACATACTTCTGCTCACTACTAATTATAGAGGAATTGAAAGAGTTGAAGAAATTCCAAAATTTTGGGTAACCAGAAGAGAAATAGAGGGAGAAAAATCTTCCAATGGGGTCACTAGTTCTGGTGACAACCAGGATTTCTTTTAATTGGGGGATTTCCAATCACTTCCTGTTGTGGCTATGGGACAAGAAATCTCCCTGATAGGACAGAGATGGTAAAAAATTCTGACAGTAGTTATAACCCTCCCTTACTCTATCCATAATGCAAAAGAACATTTTCTTCCTTTAGTTCTACTTTAAAGTGGTATTATTATTATACAGTATTTAGCGCCAGTATTTAGTATTTAGTTTGCTCAGCGCTTTACAATTTAAAGGGAGACAATACAGCAACAATACAGTTCAATACAAGAGGGTTAGGAGGGCCCTGCTCCTTGGAGCTTACAATCTAAGAGGGAGGGGCTGGTGGTACAAAAGGTAATAACTGTGGGGGATGAACTGATAGGAGAAATAGAGGATTTGATTATTAGCTGAAGGCAGGATAGGTTTCCCTGAAGAGAGAGGTTTTCAAAGAGCGCCTAAAAGTGGGCAGAGTAGGCGATAGATTGGGGTAGAGAGTTTCCAGAGGATGGGAAAGGCTCTGGAGAAGTCCTGGAGAGGAGCATAGGAGGAGCAGGAGACAAGGCAGCTAGACAGCAGGAGGAGAGGACTGTTTGGGTGATATTTGAAGACAAGATTGGTGATGTGATTTGGGTCAGAGTTATAACAGTGGCTTTATATGTTACTGTTAATGTTTTGAATTTTGTTGGGCAATGGAAAGCCAATGGAGGGATTGGCAGACATGGAACGGTTGGTAAGGTGGAGGAGTCTGGCAGCAGCAACATGATAGACTGAAAAGGGGATATCCTGTGATTAGGTAGGCCAATGAGGAGAGAGTTACAATAGTCAAGGCCAGAGATAACCAGGGAGGGAATAAGTTGCTTAGTGGTTTCAGTGTTTAAAAACGGGCGTATCTTGGAGACGTTACGGAGGTGAAGTCTACAAGATTTGGCCAGTGATTGGACTTGGAGAAGTCAGGGGAGGGGGAACAGGCTAGAGGGAATATTATGAGCTCAGTTTTAGAAAGATTGAGTTTGAGGAAGTGGAGTGACATTCATGCTGATATGTCACTTAGTAGGTTAGTAATGCGAGAGGAGACTGAAAGAGTGAGATTAGGAGTAGAAAGATAGATTTTTGTGTCATCAACATAGAGATGGTACTTAAAACCATGGGAGTTTATCAAGTGACCAAGGGAGGAGGTGTAGCTGGAGAAGAGAAGGGGTCCAAGGACAAAACCTAGGAGGGACCCCTGAAGAAACAGGAAGTGGAGAGGAGAGAGTTATAGGGAACGCTGAAGGAGCGCTGAGATAGGTAGGAGGAGAACCAGGAGAGAGCAGAGTGTCGGAGGCCAAGAGAGTGGGGTTTTTTTTTTTTTTTTTGAGGAGTAGGGAATGGTCAACAGTATCAAAAGCCACAGAGAGGTCAAGTAGTAAGAGTATGGAGCAGTGTCCATTGGTTTTAGCAGTTAGTAGATCATTAGTGAGTTTAGTAGGGCAGTTTCAGTGGAATGAACGAAAGCCAGGTAAACGGGAGAAGGGTCTTAAGTTGCTTAGGTTGGTGGGGTCCAGTGAGGGCTTTTTAAGTATGGGAAGGGATCTGTGCATGCTTTAGAGGGGAGGGGAAGGTGTCAGTAGAGAGGGAGAGACTGAAGATGTGAGTGAGCATAGGATAGAAGAAGAGGGTGACTGTAGTAGTTGTGAGGGAACAGGATCCAGGGGGCAAGTGGTGAGATGGGCTTTGAGAAAACTTTAGTGATCTCTTTGGTAGTAGCAAGGCCAAAAGAGGAAAGTGTTGAGGGAGGTTTAGTATAAGGTATGTTAAGTGGGATAAATTCTGTGCAGTGGAAACGCCCCCACGAATTACATCAATCTTGTTTTTGAAATGATTGGCAATCTCGTAAGCAGTGAGTGAGGTGCTGGGTGGAGGTGGCGGAGGAGAAAGTAGAGAGTTAAAATTAGAGAAAAAAACGATGAGGACTGGATGGCAAGCTATTAAAAAGAGTGACAAAGTAGGCTTGCTTGGCAGCATGGAGGGAGGAATTGTAAGTTAAGAAAGACGATATCGGGTGAATGCTTACTGGGATTTGCTTTTACGCCATAATTGCTCCAGTGCACAGCTATGTCTCTTAAGATTTCTGGTGTCGTCAGTCTGCCAAGGTTGTAATGGTTGGGGTCTGATACTTCGAGTAGTTAGAGGAGCAAGTGAGTCTAGTGTGGATGAAACCAGAAGTGGCCAGGTCAGGGCAGGACAGGGGAGAGATTCTGTCATAGAGGTGGTCAGTTGCAGAGTAGAAAAGAGAAGGCTTAAAGTTGTGAAGGTTTCTGTGAGTAATTGTTTGCTGCTTGGAGGGATAAGTGTTTGAAGAGGAGGACATTGTGAAGATGATGAGATTGTGATCAGAGAGAGGAAAGGGGACGTTTGTAAGGTTATAGGGAGTGCAACGATGGGAGAAGACAAGGTCTAATGTATTTTCAATAGAGTGAGTGAAGGACTGTGTCCATTGTGTTAAGGCAAAAGATGAGGTTAAGTTGAAGAGTTGGGATGTAGCTGGGTTGTTAAAATAACCAAGAATGATAATGGGTATTTCAGAGGAGAGAAAGTAGGGTAGCCAGACAGAGAAATGAGATTTTGAGAACAGAGGATACTAATATGAAAAGGAGGGGTAAAGGGGGCATATTAAAAAGGTAGACAGAGTGGGAATCAGACTTGTAGGAGATGTTTCCCATGACATTTTGCTTGTATTCCATCCAGAGTGCAGTAGGGTTCTTTGTCGTATCTTCTTGCTGCTTTAGTTCAACTGCTGTGTTCAACTGCTACTTCAAACTTACGCTGTAAAATGCCCTGTGACTGTACTCCCTTTTGTGACCCACATAAGCTGGTCCAAATTTAAAGGGAGATGATCAAATGAGGAATCCTTACCCATCCCAATTAGTTACTGATAAGGAACTCATGAATTGAAAGGGGGGGAATGATCACAGACAGGCCAGTCATAAAAGATGATTGATTCTCTGATCACAGAGAGGCAAAAAGGAGGAGAGAATCAATCAGGACAAAGAGACAAAATTATATAGACTAATTATCCTACATTTTGCAGATAATCAATGCATAGCAGTGAGACAGTTTCATATGGATGAGACAGCAGCATTTACCCTAAGTTGTGCAGATAGTCAATGCATAAAGCGGTAGTAAAGACTTAAAGAAAGAAAAAAAATATCCAGCCCCTCTGCAGGTTAAAGCATAGGTTCACCTTCTGGAGCATGATACACATTACACTCATATTTAGGGTGTAATGTGTAAGCAGCTCAAGATCTGCTCACCCCCACCAATTTTCTGATCCCCAAACCCCCCCTCCCTGTGACAGCACTGGGGGATCCTCTCCCGCAACCACAGTCACATTTTAAAAACCGCACAGCTGTGAAGGGGTTCTGCTCCCACACAGCCTTGTCATTTATTCACAGGAATAGCTCCATGAAAAACTACAAGAACACTCTGCCACTGCAGCAGACATTCTTGAAGTCTGAATAGGTTGCTCAGCACACTGCTTAGTATGTTTGAAGTTTATCTAGTCTTCCTCTAGCTTTGTAATTAAATGCCTGTATAAGCACAAAGCTAGGGGACGATTGTGCAGGAGCCTGACATTGTACCCAAGATCTGCTGATTGCAGGTGCAATGCTCTGCAGGCTCCATTAAAAAAATACAAAAAAAAAACTAAATGAAAAAACTACAACCTGAAAAAAAGTGTAGTTATAATTTAGTAAAAGGTGAACCTATCCTTTAACCCTTTTGCTGCCAGGTCTGTATGTCGTACGAACTTTACAGCGGGCGAGTTTTTATACACAATCCGATGGCTGCAGCCAATGGGATTGCGTATAAAAAACTGACAAGCAGACTCCTGCCTGTCAGGTGGAAGTAGTTGGCGGGCTGCACTGCTGCCCAATTGTTTCCACACACACCCCCGGTAATGGCACCTTCCCGCCATGTATTCTAAGCTCCGCTTGCTAATCTGTGGGCCAGGGGCAGATATAGCTGGTACCAGCAAGTAAAGGAGAGCAGATGTGTGCGTCTTCTTGCTGTGACCCGGAAAGTGGCATGTATGACGTCACTTCCAGGTCCCTGTATCAGTTTCCCTGGCCTGAGAACAGACTGGGAGTAATGTGTTGCAATGTGATCTGCATTGCAATACATTCAGTGGAGTCCAGAGGAGACATGCAGGGTCTTTTAGCCATGCACACCGGAGTGAGAGCAATAATTCTAGCACAAGACCTCCTCCATAACACTAAACTGATGACCTATAGGGGACTTTGAAGTGTCACCTATAGAAAGTTAAGGCTTTTGAAGTTTGTTGCCATTTCAAAACCCCTGATCCTGCATTCACTATGTCTGGTCTCCCACAGTACACAGAACATGGAAAAGCAATTATTTTAGTAAATATAAACTGCTAAATACCTTTTCTCATCAGGAGTATATAGCAATCATATGACTTCTATTAGTGTCCAGCTCAGCACACTGGTTAAGGCTTGTAGGAGGAGCTTTCATTCTGCTTTGACTGTCCTACGAGACTGCATAACCCCTGATCCTCTGTCTGGACAGTGCCAATTGGCCCTCTGCTGATCATATGCAGCCTCCCAAAGAAAAAAAAAAAAAAAACAAAAAACAAACCTTTCTAGCAATACACCAAACTGAGCATGTGCAGAGTGACTCCTAGAGCTCAGTACTATCAGCAGATGGATTGGGGACAGAATAAAAAGGGGAGGATCAGAGAAGACAGGTTCAAGCAACTCATCCACCCTACTAACCGTTCCATGTCTGCCAGTCCCTCCACTGGCTTCCCATTGCCCAAAGAATAAAATTTCGAAATATTAACAACATATAAAACTAATTATGACTCTGCTCCAAATTACAGCCCCATCTTGTCTCCAAATATTACCCAAACTGTCCTCTTAGCTCCTTTCACGACCTCCTGCTCTCGTCTCCTCCTCCCGTGCTCATATACAAGACTTCTCCAGAGCCTCCCCCATCCTCCGGAACTCTCTACACCAATCTATCCAACTTTCGCCTACTCTGCCCACTTTTCGGCAATCTCTGAAAACCTCTCTCTTCAGGGAATAACCAAATCTTCTATTTCCCCCATCAGTTCATCCCCCCGCAGTTATTACCTTTTGTACCACTAGCCCCTCCCTCTTAGATTGTAAGCTCCAAGGAGCAGGGCCCACCTAACCCTCTTGTATTGAACTGTATCATTGCTGTATTGTCTCCCTTTATATTGTAAAGCGCTCAGCAAACTGTTGGCGCTATATAAATCCTGATAATAATTAACCCCTTAGGTTCCACAGTGAGTATAACAAGCATGCTTTACTGCATATACAGACTGATTGTACTGTTGTGGGTTTAGTAACACTAAGGTTTGACATGCTGGAGTATCTCTTTACTCGGTGCAACCTTGTCTTTTATATTTTACCAAATTGTAGGCCATTTATTGCGTTTGTTTGCCCTAAAATTCACTTTAGTGTGTTTACTGAAATTCTGCATTTCTTATAACTTTGCGAGTTTATCATGTGACATAAAACATTGGAACTACCACTATTTTATTCTCCAAGGTGTCTGCTTTCAGAAAATATAAGAGTGACTGTAGCTGTCGGTACCAGTGTGAAGGGTACTTTACTATTGTATTACACCTAGCTGACCGGACACTGTAGGACCCTTCAGTCCCTTGTACTGCCGGTCATGCTGGGCCTTGTAGTAGCAGGCAGCCCCTCATGTACCTCTCCTCTTCTTGCTCTGGGACGCCTCTGTAGGGAGAGGTCCTACCCAGCCCTCCTCCGCTTCTTCCTCTTCTCGCTTTTGCGGCTCGTCCTGCCTCGCCCTCTTCTCATCCTCACTGCTAGAACTGGAGGACGATGAAGAGCTACTACTACTACTGCTGCTACTACTCCGGCTTCTCCTCGCCCGCCGCTTCCTCTCCGACATGTTGCTCAGATGATGTCACCAGAATGAGACTGGCAGTACGGGCCGCCGCTGATGACGCCACGACCAATCAGAGGCGGGCGCGGGCTGCTCTGGTCTATGGCCGGAACGTGAGGCTGGTTCACATCATCTTGCCGAATGTGGGGATCTCCAAGCTGGGAAGCGAGCACCTGTAGTTACCATGGTAACGGTCGGCGAATGTGTCAGGGGAGGAGTTACCCTTAGCAACCGCTCAGGGTTTTAGTTTTCCTGACCTGGGTTGGTTGTTATGAGCCAATGTCTGACTCCAGGTTTTGTTTATGAAATGTACAGAGCATGATGATGACTGCAGCTGACCTCCAGGCTAGGGGAACTCTGTGTGTATGAAGTACAGGGGCTGGACAAAAATATGGAAACACTTCATGATTTGCAGGTGTGAAAGTGATGAGGTGTTTGGCGTTGAAAATGGAAGTGATGGAGTTCTTTTGCTTCTGCTGTGTGATGAGACACCCAGCTAAGAGGTGGGAAGCCGTACTTTCATCCTTCCCTGCTAGTAATACGGAGTCCTGTCGGCTTACTGAGTGTCAACAAGGGCAGATGGTTGGTGCTGCTTAGCTGGTACCTCTGTGACTGAAGTTGCCAATGTATTTGCCATGTCGTGAGGTACAGTATGAAAGGTTATGGCGGCATATGCAGTTTCCAGGAAAAACGTCATCTGATGAGCATAAGCGTGGTGGACATGGTCAGCTGACCGAAAGAGACAAAAGGACATTGCGCAGGATTGTGACCCGGAATAAGAAAACAACTGCTGCAAAAGTGACCGCAGAGCTCAATCTCAGTCTTACCCCTAGTTCACATATCCATGTACCTGTGGGACGCATTTTGTGCGGGCACGAGAGCCCATTCATTTGAATGGACTCCCATGCCCCGGGACACGCAGGAAAGAAGTCCCTGCACTTCTTTGGAAACCGCAGCCTGTACGGGAACCTCGATTTCCAGTGCGGATGGAGTGCCATTAGAATGAATGGCACCTGCCCGCGGGTCTGCATTCTGCTGTGTAGATGGTGCGGCTGCACGGATTTTTGTGCGGATCTGCAACTGCACCACCCACACAGATGTGAACCTAGCTTTCCAATGCCTGTGTCCACAAAAACTGGGGGGGAACTGCCTAAGAAAATTTACCCCCTGTTCACATCTATGAGGCCGTGCCGGCCGCCTTTTGCACGGGCACGAGAGCCCATTCATTTGAATGGACTCCCGTGCCCGTGACACGCAGGGAAGAAGTCCTCATGAAAACGTAGTCCTCATGGGAACCTCGGATCTCAGTAAGGTTGTATTTTCCAGTGCGGGCAGCGTGCCATTAGAACTAATGGCACCCGTCCGAGGGTCTGCATTTCTCTCTGCGGGTGGTGCGGCTGCACAGATTTTCGTACGGATCCGCAGCAGCACCACCTGCACAGATGTGAACCTAGGGTCACAGGTGAGCTGCAACTGGCAAACCACTAGTGACTGATATTAAGTCCTCATGCACACTGGACATTTTTACAGTGTCTGTTTTTGGCTTTTGATTTTTTTTTCTACAGCCAGTAAACTCCCCAGCATGTTATCCTGTGTGTCCATGCACACATAGACTGTAATCAGCATTTTTTGGCTGGAAAAACCCCCCAGAACTAGTGGGTTTCTAGAAGAGTTTTTTAGCTGTAAAAACGCTCTAACGCTGAAAAATGTAGCAAACCGGCATTTATAGATTTGTTTTGAGCAAAAAACCGCAAACGCTAATGCAAAAACGGTGAAAAACTCACACATTTTTAACATGACTTTACACAGCTGACGTTACTTGCGTCATTAAAACGCCCCGTGTGTATGGAGCCTAATGCTCAGAAGAGGAGAGAGTAGTGCAACACCCATAAATCGTGGACTGTCGATGAATGGACGACTGTAATCTGGTCCAATGAATCGAGCTTCACACTGTTGCCAACAACCGAACCTCTTTACGTTTGGTGAACACTGACACTTACGAACAGGACTGTCTTGTGCCAACGGTAAAGCATGGTGTTGGCGCAATTACGGTTTGGGCAGCCATATCTTGGTGTTCTGCAGGCCCCATCATCACCTTGAAAGGTAGAGTCACTGCCAGCGACTGTACAAATTTGACTGACCATGTGCACCCCATGGTGTAGGCATTGTTTTCCGAAGACAGCGCCATTTACCAAGAGGATAATGCTCTGATTCACACAGCTGGTGTTGTCAAATCATGGCTTGATGAGCATGCCCCCTTATATTGGTGATCAGTGGGAAGAATGCCCCCTTATATTGGTGATCAGTGGGAAGAATGCCCCCTTATATTGGTGGTCAGTGGGAAGAATGCCCCCTTATATTGGTGATCAGTGGGAAGAATGCCCCCTTATATTGGTGATCAGTGGGAAGAATGCCCCCTTATATTGGTGATCAGTGGGAAGAATGCCCCCTTATATTGGTGATCAGTGGAAAGAATGCCCCCTTATATTGGTGGTCAGTGGAAAGAATGCTCCTTATATTGGTGATCAGTGGAAAGAATGCCCCCTTATATTGGTGGTCAGTGGGAAGAATGCCCCCTTATATTGGTGATCAGTGGAAAGAATGCCCCCTTATATTGGTGATCAGTGGAAAGAATGCTCCTTATATTGGTGATCAGTGGAAAGAATGCCCCCTTATATTGGTGGTCAGTGGAAAGAATGCCCCCTTATATTGGTGATCAGTGGGAAGAATGCCCCCTTATATTGGTGATCAGTGGGAAGAATGCCCCCTTATATTGGTGATCAGTGGGAAGAATGCCCCCTTATATTGGTGGTCAGTGGGAAGAATGCCCCCTTATCAGTGGGAAGAATGCCCCCTTATATTGGTGATCAGTGGGAAGAATGCCCCCTTATATTGGTGATCAGTGGGAAGAATGCCCCCTTATATTGGTGATCAGTGGAAAGAATGCCCCCTTATATTGGTGGTCAGTGGAAAGAATGCTCCTTATATTGGTGATCAGTGGAAAGAATGCCCCCTTATATTGGTGATCAGTGGGAAGAATGCCCCCTTATATTGGTGGTCAGTGGGAAGAATGCCCCCTTATATTGGTGGTCAGTGGAAAGAATGCCCCCTTATATTGGTGATCAGTGGAAAGAATGCCCCCTTATATTGGTGGTCAGTGGAAAGAATGCCCCCTTATATTGGTGATCAGTGGAAAGAATGCCCCCTTATATTGGTGGTCAGTGGAAAGAATGCCCCCTTTATATTGGTGGTCAGTGGGAAGAATGCCCCCTTATATTGGTGGTCAGTGGGAAGAATGCCCCCTTATATTGGTGGTCAGTGGGAAGAACGTCCCCTTATATTGGTGGTCAGTGGGAAGAATGCCCCCTTATATTGGTGATCAGTGGGAAGAATGCCCCCTAATATTGGTGATCAGTGGGAAAAATGCCCCCTTATATTGGTGATCAGTGGGAAGAATGGTCCTTACATTGGTGGTCAGTGGGAGAATGCTCCTTATATTGGTGATCAGTGGGAAGAATGCTCCTTATATTGGTGATCAGTGGAAGAATGCTCCTTACATTGGTGGTCAGTGGGAAGAATGCCCCCTTATATTGGTGATCAGTGGAAAGAATGGCCCCTAATATTGGTGGCCAGTGGAAAGAATGCCCCCTTATATTGGTGGCCAGTGGAAAGAATGCCCCCTTATATTGGTGATCAGTGGAAAGAATGGCCCCTAATATTGGTGGCCAGTGGAAAGAATGCCCCCTTATATTGGTGATCAGTGGAAGAATGCCCCCTTATATTGGTGATCAGTGGAAAGAATGCCCCCTTATATTGGTGATCAGTGGAAAGAATGGCCCCTAATATTGGTGGTCAGTGGAAAGAATGCCTCCTTATATTGTTGGTCAGTGAAAAGAATGCCCCCTTATATTGGTGATCAGTGGAAAGAATGCCCCTTATATTGGTGATCAGTGGAAAGAATGCCCCCTTATATTGTTGGTCAGTGAAAAGAATGCCTCCTTATATTGGTGATCAGTGGAAAGAATGCCCCCTTATATTGGTGATCAGTGGAAAGAATGCCCCCTTATATTGTTGGTCAGTGGAAAGAATGCCTCCTTATATTGTTGGTCAGTGGAAAGAATGCCTCCTTTACCCCTCTCCCTGACCGGGCCATTTTTTGCAATACGGCGCTGTGTTACTTTAACTGACAATTGCGCAGTCATGCAATGCTGTACATAAATAAAATTTGTAGTTTTTTTTCCCCACAAATAGAGCTTTCTTTTAGTGGTATTTGATCACCCCTGTGTTTTTTATATTTTGCTCTATAAATGAAAAAACACTGACATATTTAAAAATAAAAGAATTCTTTTTACTTTCTGCTATAAAACATATCCAATAAAAAATTTTAAAATCAATTTTCTTCTTAAATATAGGCCAAAATGTATACTGCTACATATCCTATATTTCCTGTGATGGAAATGCTAATTTACATTTATATATGAAATTTTTGTACAGAATGTTCGCCCTTTAGCAGTAAATTTGCTATAGGGCTGAGGCCAAGTGGTTAAGGAGAAGAATGCTAGTTACATTGGTGGTTAGTGAGCAGAATTCTCCTTACATTGGTGACCAGTAGGAGAATGCTCCTTGCATTGATTGTTAAAGGGTAGAATACCCCTCTACCTGTGCAGAAGTTCCATACACCTGTGCTCACTGCTGACATTGTGTGAGTGCAGACATGCCCCAGATAGAAATGTCATGGTAGATAGCATGAGACTTCCCCTGCTGCTGACATCAGGGATGTGGGGTGGGAACGCTATAGTCTACAAAGTGTCACAGCTTTATTTGTGTGCAGGGGGACAGCTGAGCTGTCAGTAATAAAAGTAACCCATTTTATAGTCCATTAACCACCTCCCGCCCGCCCATATAGTAATGTGATGGATGCAGGGTGGTTCTCTCGTTCTGGGAGGACGTCATATGATGTCCTTCCATTCTCCACATTCGTGGGTCAGGGAGCGCACAGCGTGGCGATCGGCAGTGCGCTGTGTCCCTTGGACACAGCGGATCACCGATTACGGAAAGAGCCAAAGATGTCAGCTCGGTCATGTGATCAGCTGTGTCCAATCACAGCTGATCACATGTAAACAGGGAAATGCCGGTCCTCACGCTGACAGCTCGTGAGGAGAGGAGAGCCGGTAATCGGCTTTCCGCGGAGGGGACATGTACACAGATCATCAGTGCACTGATGATCAGTGTGCCCTGATGATCAGTGTAGCCCCAGCAGTGCCACCTGTCAGTGTCCATCAGTGCCTTGTGTCAGTGCTCATCAGTGCCTCGTGCCAGTGCCACATCAATGCCACATATCAGTGCCTACCAGTGCACATCAATGCCACATATCAGTGCCCATCTGAGCTGCCTTTCAGTGTCACCCATCAGTGCCAGTCAGTGCCACCTATCAATGCCTATCAGTGCTGCCTATCAGTGCCGCCTATCAGTGCCGCATATCAGTGCTGCCTTTCAGTGCCCATCAGTGATGCCTGTCAATGCCCATTAGTGCCACCCACCAGTGCCTCCTCATCAGTGCCACCTATCAGTGTCCATCAGTGCAGCCTATCAGTACCCATCACGGCAGCCTCATTAGCGCACATCAGTGAAGGAGAAAAATCACTTATTTACAACATTTTATAAAAAAACTAAGAAAAAACTTTTTTTTTTCAAAATTTTCTGTGGTTTTTGGTTTAAGAAAAAATAAAAAACCCAGAGGTGATTAAATACCACCAAAATAAAGCTCTTTCTGTCACAAAAAAATTACAAAAATTTCATATGGGTACAGTGTTGCATGACCGCGCAATTGTCACTCAAAGTGCAACAGAGCTGAAAGCTGGAAATTGGCCTGGGCAGGAAGGGGGTATAAGTGCTCTGTAAGCAAGTGGTTAAATCAGAACGTTACCCATAACAGTTAATATTCTTTAACAAAAGAACATACATTCCACATTAATAATTATTGTACCAAAATTAGTTTGTGCTGTAAACTTCCCCCAGCATTGCTCTTGTTTCTTCTTGCTGGAGCCATTTTTTTTGAAGCCCAAAGCAGTGACTTGCTTACAGAAAATCCTCCCTGTCTTTGTTCTCAAGGATTGTATGTCAGTTTCTGTAATTAAAAGGTGTGCATTTCTAGCCTTGATTTGGCTCAGTTAGACAGGAAGGCTGATAGAAGCTTTACAGTGCTGAAGTTAACAGACTGCCTATGAGGTGGAAAAGAGAGAATATCAGAGAGATAAGATAAGACACTATACATGATTAATTTGTTTTGTTCAACCAGAGGGTGGAATAAAAAAGAAATTAATTGATTTCTCCATCCACACATTTGATGTGGCTGGGGGACCCTCTTCTGCTGAGCTACTGTATTCTGCCGGCAGACTACAATGATCAGTGAGTATTGCCAGCTATAGCAGGTGGCACTGAAAGTTTGGGAAAAACCTGACAGGTTGATCAATAGCTCAGGGCTCAAAATTTCAAGTCCTGAGATACTAGCCAGACTTAAGAGTTACTCGCTACCAGTTGCCCCACCCAACCCCTACCATGCTTTGCCCCTAATTCCACCCCTAAACGCGCCCTCATAAATTATCTTATGAAATGGCGCTGTTAAATGCTTTATGTAGAATAAAGAAAGGAATAAGGGAAGGAAGGGGAGGGAGGAAAGAAGGAAGAAAGGGAGGAATGGAGGGAAGAGATGGAAGGGAGAGAGAAGAGAGGGAAGGGAGAGAGGAAGGAGGAAAGAAGGGAGGGGGGGAGGAAGGAAGGGAGGAAAAGAAGGGAAGGAAGGTCTCACAGTTTCTCATGGATGGTCCTGGCTCGCATGCACAGTCAGAAGCATCACAGCTGCCAGCTGTTCTGCATACAATTTCCCGCCCACACATCCCCTTCTGCACGGCACAGATTGGAGTGTGGGCAGGCACAAGGGGAGACAGAGCAGATCTAGCCTCTTTCCTCTCCTATTGGTGCGAAGGATGGGAGGAGGCTCTGGGCATGAAGGAGCACACGGGGGGGCCTGAAAAAAAATGAAGGATTGGGGAAGATCGGTGCAGTGGTGGGGGCAGTTACAAGTAGCGATCCCCCTGTTAAATGATCTGCCAGGTGGTGCCTCAGGCTGCCAACTGACAGACCTACCCAGAGCGTGGGGTCTAAGCCCGGGCTGTGCTTTCACCAGGGGGCTGAGGAGACCTCCGGGGACTTATGCAGGTACCGGGAGAGCCAGATGTGAAGAGGATGGCGGCCCCAGCAGGGTGGTAATGGATCGTGGTCTTGTGGGGGTAAGCGGGGTACAGAATCGGCGGGCAAAGAGTAGTCGGGTCACACGCAGGATCAGCAGGGTAAGTCAGTCCGTAGAATGGTCAGGGCAATCCGGGTCAATCACAGGAGCAGGCAGAGTAGTCAGCGCAATCCGGGTCAATCACAGGAGCAGGCAGCGTAGTCAGGGCAATCCGGGTCAATCACAGGGGCAGGCAGCGTAGTCAGGGTCAAACAGGGTCACTAGACGGGTGCAGGAACTCAGAATCACAGATAGACCTTGCGGCAATCTGTGACAGTGCAGGGTATCTTTAAATAGTGCGCCCTGCACTGTCATTGGCCGGCTAGGACGCGCCCCCGGCTGTCATTGGACGCCTGAGGCACCCCTGCGGCTCCTACTGTGCATGCGCGGCGTCCTGTCAGCTGCGGCTCGCCGGGACCTAGTGACTGTGTCCCAGCGTGATCTGCCGCCAGTGCGCATGCGCGGGGGAAGGCGCCGCGATCCCGGATTCCGGAGCCGCGATCCCTGACACCCCCTGTATGGCTTTCAGTGAAGCAGCTTCTCCTTTCCCTCCTGTGGCTTTCAGCTGCTTTATTGAAAGCCGTACAGGGAGATTGCTGCTTGTAACTGCCCCCACCGCTGCCCCTCCCACACACTCCTAGTCCCGATGCTGCTTGCCCCCACGTAATTTCTACTCACCCAATGCAAGCGGGCAAGTGGAAATTTTGAGGGCTTAATTAGCTCATACATGCATAGATTTTGGCCAGTCCCTGCTCATCTGGTCAAATTTCGATCCATGATGGCCAGCTTAAGTTTAACTCTTTTGTATCTCCCTGGCAGCAGTTTGTCCTGTCTCCTTTCCTTTCTTTTTCCCTAATCTGTCCTTCCTCGGTACAGTTTGTGTCATTCCTGTTTCCTCCTCTCTCTTCACTAAATCTTTATGCTGTCAGCTGATCGGCCTCCAGTGACTCATTGATTATCGGCACAGTGCCAAGAATACAGGACAACTGAGGCTGTGCAGGGCAGGGTGAGACCGTGTACTACTGGATTTTACATAGTATAAGCACGTATGTTTAATGTTTTACATAGCTATACCTGACTAAATTTCCACTTTAAGCAGGGAAACTATGTGGTAATGACAGTGCCTCTTTAGGTGAGGTAGTTTCACACCTATGTGTGTTTTTTAGCTGCATTGTTATTTCGGTTTTCAGCAAAATACACTTTCCATAGGGATGAATGTTAACCTCCCTGGCGGTATGATTCCTTCCGATTTTTTGTGCTGAAAGCGGTACCATTTTTTCGCATGGAAATAGTTTTTTTATTGTAGGCTGTAATTTTTAGGAAAATTTCCCCACAAATCATTATCACTCAATTCTGTAAGTGGTTCTGATTTACTATCGCTGTTCTCTAGCCGGTCTAAAACCGCTTTTGACCTAAAGGGACACTTTTTGGACGCCATGGACTTTTCTAAGTTTCCAGGCAGAAAGAACAGACAAAATGCAGGCAGGGCACAGGACAAAGCACTAGGGACAATATGTATGTGAAATGGGATGAAACAGCAATGTTTTACTATTTAAAATTGAAAAAAAGAAAAAATTAAAGTTTTCAAATTTTCCGCCGCCGGTGGCGCCCGTACGTCCCGACGTCACGGGGACCGGAACACAGAAGCCGGATGCCGGCATCGGCCGGAGGAGATGGCCCGGGACTCTGCAGGGGACACATCGTGGGAACGAAGGACAAGGTAAGTGCTGCAGGGACCCCCAGAGCAGCGCCGCAAGGTAAGCCCGAGTGTAGCTCGGGGTTACCGCTTTTGGTATAGAAATTTTACCCCGAGCTACACTCGGGAAAACCGCCAGGGAGGTTAATGCATATAAAACATTTCCTGAATACAACAAAGCTGTGCTACTCTCATACAATCTGCCGTGTGAAGACTTGTCACATTGCAGGCAGAAATGCAAAGGGTAACTTCTTTGCATCCTCCATGTCAAAGTAAGTTTAAAAAAAATAAGTAGCTGAAGTCTCATGTACAACCCAGCTTTTTCTTTAAAAGGCATGTTTGGCCTCAATGACTCCAAAGCCTTCTTCTTGGTTCTTGAGTATGAGTGACCAATGAGGATTGAAGGAGTGAAACCAAGCCTGGCTTTTAGGTTATGTTTACAATTGCAGGTGGGGGGGGGGAAGAAACGCAGTTGAGCCATGTTTTTACTGCCTCCAGCCCCTCACCTTATACTGTAGCATAATGCCTCCTCACTGCCTGTTGTGAGGTGTAACCAAACCCTTACAGGAACCAGTGAAGATTTGTTTATAAATTTTGATATTTAATTTTTTGAATCTACTGATTGGTTTTCATGCTGCTTATATGTTTTCCAACTAAACCTGGCTAGGTTTGTGCCAGGTTTACTGCAGGAAAATTGAAGATTATTTTTCAGTAAGTAAAATCTAAAATGTACATATTTTCCACCTGTTTATTTAGAATCTGTAAGTTAGAATGGTCTTGTGTTTTTTTTTCTGACAATTGTTTCTGTTTGTAGGACAAGCTGGATACACTTCTCAAAGAGGTAAGTGAATCCATGGGTAATACAATTGTCTTTTATATGCAAATTGCATCATTGCCATACAAAACCAATACTAAAACTATATAAATGTCTTCTAATGTTACCTGTGCTATGAGGCATTCCTCTGACTGTCTCATCTAACAATACCCACACGCAGAGACTATTGTAAGACCTCTGTCGTGTATCTGATGTGACTTTAAAATGATCTAACAGTACCTGTGTATGATGGCTGTTTTAAAGTGATTCTACATTTTTTTTTTTTAGAATAACAAACGTCATACTTACCTGCTCTGTGCAATGGTTTGGCACAGAACAGCCCCGAACCTCCTCTTCTCAGTTTCCCAGCATGGCACTCCAGGCTCCTCTCCCCTACTGAGTGCCTCCATATCCAGCTGCTTCGTATGGGGGCACTTGTGTGGGCTCGCTCCTGAGCCAGCTCTGTGTGTCCATAAAACACACAGAGCATGACTCGTCCCTGCACTCTGCTCCCTCTTCACTGGCTGTTATTGACAGCAGCAGGAGCCAATGGCTCCACTGCTGTTTCTAAACCATTGAGGAGTGAGAGAGTTAAGAGAGCCTCTGCTCTATCTAGTGCACATCGCTGGATTTTATTTGGCCAGAAACATCCTTAGTTTTAGAATCAAATTAATTATCAAAACATATATTTTAGTAAGAAATCTTTAAGAAGCTTGTTTGGGAACAATAAAAAAAAATACATGGAAATTTGGAAGATGCCATCATTGACCTGTGAAAATGCTTGCTCCATTATTATTTTCAGAGACACCCACTGCACTTCTACTTCTGAATCACCCAGAGCAAGTACATAGCCAGTGAAGTCTGGCCTTTAAGCCTTGGAATAAGTCTGACAAGAAGCTAGCATTGTAAGAGGCCACCAGTGGCAGCCTACGTATTTCTCTCGGTTCAGGTTTTCTGTACATAGTTATAATGCACTGTGATGTAGTAAAACAATTATAGAATTTATGACATCACCACCCTGCAACTCCACCCTACCCAATCACAGAACCCATTTTAATAATTCAGAAAATGCAAAACATCCTCTGAATGGCACCACGTCTAGTAGCTGAGCTCCTATGTTCCCAATCCAGCAGGACAGCTGCTTGGTGCGAGACCCAGAAACAAGTGGAGACTACCGAAGTAGTGGTGTCTACAACAGTGTTTTTCAGCTTCCAGGGCCATCAGCCAGGTATGGTATATACAAAAGTACAAAAACAGAATAATTTGGAAAAAACTGTTTTGTCCCATATTTTTCCAAAGCTGTTTTTTGGTGATATTTCCTGAAAAAAAAAAAAAAAAAAAAAAGGAGTGTGGAATATGTTCTTTTACAATGATACATGATATATCTATGACATGGTATTCAAACTATGTAGTTTGAAAGACCTTAATAAAAGGTTTCTGAGACTTTATTTAAAGTCTGAATTATTGCAAGACAAGTAAATCCTGGAATACAATTCAAGTAACACTGTACTTCTCTGTGCAGTTCTCAAACAAGAGCAATATGCATTTCTGCCACTAGGGGCACTGCAGGGGAAAGGTTTCAGTTTACTTTGCTTGTGGGCTCAATCTTGTACCTTCTACAGTTGGGATATAGTTTCTGTCCTCAGGCCTTAGTTGACAGGTAAAAGGGTATATTTGTCTGACAAATTATTTTTTTCTTTGTAGCCTTTAAATGATTCATATTAATGTTCTCCACCATCACATCCTTATGTTTACCTATAGTCTGCTCAGTACATTGTTTTTTTTTTCTTTTCGTCTTCTCAATAAAATGGTGAGACCAACTTCTAGAGTGTGGAAACATTTCCACAGTGCAGTTTCTGTTAATGGCAAAGCTGCAATTTGCAAATATTGTGAGAAGAAATATTCTTTTCCAAATGCTACAAGGATGGCAAAACACATCCTTGCATGCCAGAGGTTCCCTAGAAGCATTGAAAATTACTTTATGGAATGAAATGATGCAAGTAGCTCTTCCCTCCAGAGTTCTCATTCCAGAAACACTCTTTCTGCTACTTCTGGAATATCACAAAGTGTTAGTGTAACAAAATGGCTTTCAATTTGTAAAACTACTCCACAGTGAATTATTTATTTATTGGTTTGTTAAATAACAGGGTTTTTTTTTTCTTGTGTTTTCAAAATTTTACATCTCGTTCTGGAATTCATCTTTAAGATAAACATAGTATGGAATCCACCATTGGCAGTCTCCTGAAAATGCTAGTTACCAAACAAGTCTGCTTATTTGCTGACTTTAGCACATCAAAGTAAATTCAGAACTCTTTAGTTGCATACTTGTTCTGGGTCCATGCCTAAGGAAGAATGGAAGCCACTGGATCAGCATACCAGCCAGGAAACTAGCATTTTCAGGAAGACAGTAAAACTAGCCAAGCACAGTAACACAGTGTTAACCCCAAAAGCAAACATTTACAGTATTATATTGCAGTTTACCATTCCTTAGATGTGATGGCTGTATTAGTTTACTTTTTTTTAGGCTTGCCTTGTGCTATTTTCATCTGGTGATCCAGCTAGCAAGTCTGTTGTTTTTCAAAAGCACAAGCTCTCCAGTTCTCTAACAGAATGTATTGGTTTATATGGATGAAACAAGCAACTCTAACATTGGCAGGGATGATTAAAATGTTCAGCTTTTATTTATTCATGCAAAACCTTTATCCCAAAAGAAAAACAAATGTTTGCTCTAATATATTATAAATTTTGAGCTGCAGTTTGGCTTCCATTTGTTAGTGTATCTAAATTTGCTACAAAATATAATGCTACCTCCCCCTGATAGGTGGCACAGCAGACAGCATCGTTATCTAATTCTTCCATTTTTGTGTCTCACAAATACAGGAGGTGTGTTAGGCTGGCCATACATTATACAATGTCCTTGGACAGTTTTCCTGTAGATTTACCAAAACCATATAATATGGGGTCAAACCTAAACACTTTCAATTTGTATGCAATCAGCCTGGCCCTTGCACTACATAGTTAAAGGTAGATCTGAAGGAAATTGAACAAGAAAATTGTATAATGTATAACCCGCTTTACTGGTCAGGTGACCAGATGAAAACAAAGGGAGTAAAAGCCAAAGAAAAGAAACTTGATGCAGCCACCACATCTAATGATTGGTAAACTGCAATATATTACATTTTTGGATTTGGGTGTTATACCGCTTTAACATTTTTCTTGTTCAATCCCTCAACACGAACAAGAGAAATCACTTGATTCTTGTTTAGTGTGGATGGACGAATCTCCAGTGCCTGTTCATGTATTATTTCAGCCAGCACCCATTGCTGTCACAATACTCAAATAGTGACTTCAACTGGATTCAGGCGTTGTTTGGCTGAGAAATTAGCAGAAACACCTGAAATCGAATCCGTGTATGACTAGTTTAACAATCCAGATTTTTCACTCTCCGTTTTCCGGTGATATATATTTTAAATATTTTATGCTAGGAAAACATCCAGTTGGAAAAAGCCCTCTGTATATTAGGATAATTCCACCTGGCCTGCTTTCAGAAATGGGTTGACATTGGTGGATTGTATTCCTCACTGGCCTCTTTTGTCTTCCAGACAGAGCTGCTTGCACGGCACATGTCCTCTTATCAACACGAATTACCCCCTGATCTAGATTCTGCCTCAAAAGTTAGTGAGGAAGCTAAGAATGAGTTAATACAGGAGTGTGAAGACCTCTGGACAGAAATGAAACAGGTATGTTTCTGATTAGTAATTTGATCAGCTCAATGTTTAGATATTTTTGGATGTTTTTAGCAATTCTTCAGAAAATAAATTTTTAATACTCCCTTACAGAGACGACAGACTTTGAAATATTTATATAAAGCAAACCTAGCAAGAAAGTAACGTTCCTACTGTATTATTTTTGCTGTTCCTGCATCTATGGGTAGAATGTGTAAAAATATTAGATGTGTTTATGAAAACCAACTGCTATAAACGAAAGTATCGAAGTTTGGTGATATTACAGATAGTTGCAACCAACAAAACAGTTATATGGGGCCCGCTTGTTACAGCCATTTGGTGCATGTATTCATTGTGACTAGGCTGAGGCGCAAATGTTGGAAATTACATCTCTGACACTGTAATTAGAACCAGTGGGTGCATATAGCCCATGTCCACGTTAGGAGGCAAGAACCTCCTAGATTGTAAGCTCCCAGGATCAGGCCCTCCTAACCCTCTTGTATTGAACTGTATTGTTGCTATATTGTCTCCCTTTATATTGTAAAGCGCTGAGCAAACTGTTGGCGCTATATAAATCCTGTATAATAATAATAATGACTATCTTTGGGGCTGAAGGATCACCCCCACCAGAGGTGATTGGCCAAAGGTTAGAGTCCAGCCCACATCCATACCTCAGTATATTGAGGAGCATGAGGTATGGACAGGATAAATTGAATGGAGCCTGTTCTGAATATGGTGGATTGCTGAATTTTTCTCTGTGTGCTCCCACCAGTAGGAAAAACCATGTCGTTCAAAACGGTTAAGTTTATTTCTCTGCTTTTATTATATAGCCAAAAGCCAAATTCCGTGTGTTCTTTTTGTTTTTAATCTTCATCTTTGTACTAATTTTTATGCAGTACCAACCTTTGGGGTAATTAAATTACAAAATGAATAAGTGGCTTCTGTATACTAAGCTAAGACTCCTATGCCTAGAGAGATGTGTTATCATCAAAGTGATTCATCATCTTTTGAAAATATAATCTGTCGGTTATAAATGCAAATGATCTATTAAACAGTCATTTGATCAATCGGAATTATGATCGGTCTCTGACACACACATACACACACACATGCAGATATTTGATTTTTGAAGTGATTGACAAAATTCTGCCATGGCTGATATGATTGATAGATCATCAAATAGAGAATTTGTGATTTTTTATTTTTGTATTCTTTCAGTTTAGTTGTATTGAATAATCAATCAATCAATCAATTAAATCCAAAGCTGTGAGCAGTTTGTATACCCCCCTTTTTTTATAGGCAGTGCCTGTGGAACTGCCAGCTGCTACCAGTGACATGGCTACCTCCAGTATTTGTTCACAAGTGCACTTTTGCTCAAAAACAATCACATTTTTGACAAAACAGCTGGCGTTGGACTGCAGAGTAGGACAGTATAGACAGGGGAAATCTGTATAGACAATTTTTAAATCCTGCATGTGAAGGATACAGAAAAGGCCATTAAACTGTTACTGAAGCCACAACAGTAACATCTGTCTGTATATGCAGTCATGCATGCTTGTTATACTCGCTGTGGAACCTTTGAGGTTAATCCTCTGCATTGTGTAAAAAGACTGTTTGATCCTGGCTTCTCTGATCCTCCCCTTCTTCCATTGTCCCCTACTCATCTGCTGATAACACAGAGTCTTTGGAGTCACTCTCCACATGCACAGTTTAGTGTGTATGTGCTAGAGTTATTTTTTCCTTTGGGAGGGTGCATGTGATCAGCACAGAGCCAATCAGCACTGTCCAGACAGAGGGTCAGGGATCACGCAGTCTCATAAGGAAGTCAAAGCAGAATGAAAACTCCTCCTACAAGCTTCAACCAGTGCTCGGCTGGACACTGATAGAAGTCACAAGACTGCTATATACTACTATATATTTACTAAACTAATTGCATTTCCATGTTCTGTGTAATGTGGAAGACCAAATATAGTGAATGCGGGTCCTGGGTTTAGTAACACTTTAAGGGCTTGTGCACACAGAAGTTCTCTGCTCCTCTCCCATCACCTTTTTTGTAGCAGTGTACTCTCTGTACACAAGAGGTATGCCATAAAGAGGTGTTGGAAACATAGACGAGCAGCATGCTGTGCCTTTCCCTGCACATTCCTGATGGGACAAGTCTTTGTGTGCACACTGTTACTTAAAGCTCTTTTGGCTGTACTTCTGTGGATCACAGGAGTGCAGTTCGTTCTGCACTCCTGTGTCGGCTGATATCACGCGGCTGGTCCAGGCTCGGAAAAGATCTCAACTTCAAAGTCGGGATCCAACCCAAAGTCTGAAGTGGCACCTGGCACAGCCTCTCAGCAAGCCGCTGAGAGCCTGAGCCCAGTGCTCCCTCCCTCTCCACAGCCCAGCGGTCCAGTGAGCACAGAAGGAGGGACAGAGCAAAGAGCAGTGACTCACAGTCTCCGCTCTCTGCTCAGAGTAGCTGTGAAAACTCTGTGGTCAGCGGTCATGTGATCGCTGACTTCTCACACTTGGAGCCGGTGGAGGACAGGTGCAGCATCAAACCGATAAATGGGGGGAAAAAGTCAGTACTAATCTTTTAAGAAAGAAGCAATTCTCTGTGCTGTTCTAAGGCGTATTAGGCTGATCCGATCCTCCCTGACTTTTGTAAGCTTTGTATTCTCTAATCTTTTGTGTAAATCAGGATTTTCACTCAATTTAGACTGCCCAAATACATAGCCAGCTGAGCAGACTACTGATCTGGCAGTGTAGTCTTACTGGGGAGAGGGAAAAGCATTTTAGTAGATGTTTTTTCAAGAGAATTGTTATAGTTTTATACAATTTTTGTTTTTTTTTTTATTAATGCAAAACCAAAACATTTTTGTTCATTTGGAAAACTGTGGAAAGGGTTACATCTAGTGTGAGTTTTTTTTTCTTTTGTATTCTTTGCCCCTACTGGGGAGATTCACTCTATTTGTCCTGGCACCATTTGTAAATGGGACAGAAAGTGACAAGAAATCCAAAATTAAAGAAGAACATTGAAAGTGGCTACTACAGCAGCTGGGCACCTTTAGGAGCATCAACCTTCCCACCACAGCAGAATCTATGGTGTGGGGTGCCTTGAAAGCTTTCAGTAAAGGACAGTATCAGACGCTTATAGCTCAGGTTTGTAGAGATTTAAAAGCTGACTTAGCCTTGGCGGAGGCGGAAGCCTCTAGCCTGGAACGTCAATGTCTTGACTAAAGACCTACACATTTATAGTAGACTGCAGGGAGCGACTAGGAGAGTTCTCCTTTTACATACTTCCTTAACTAGAAAAAAGCTGCTTCAGCAGTCCCAAAGGATTTTTGAACAAGGTGAGTGGAATAGTAGGCTTTTAGCTTGGCTTGCCCAGGAACAATCCCCTGCCATGAGTGTCCCCTGCATAATCAACCCTTCTGGAGAGGCCCTGACAGTGTCTCAGGATATTACAAATTGCTTTGCTTCTTTTTATGAAAACCTGTATACTTCAAGGGTTGATTATGCCTCTGAAGAACTTTGTTTCTACCTCTCAGAGATAGACATCACGGTTCTGACTTCCACTTGTAGGGACCGTTTGGACACTTCTAATATGTTGAAAGAGGTCCAGCTGGCCATTTCCTCCCTCCAGACCTGAAAGACGGTTTTCCTGTTGAATTCTATAAGACGTATGGGGAAATGTTTGCGCCCCGCCTTCATGCTATGCTTGTGAACTCCTTACAAACCTGAACGTTGTTCAACTTACTGTTACATTTTGTTGCTGAATGTGGACGCCAAGTTGCTTACAAAAATTCTGGCTCACCACCTAAATCTGGTTATAACAACCTTGGTGCATCCAGACCAATCTGGGTTCATGCCTGGCAGGGACACTGACATTTAACATTAGGCGACTGTTTACACATATTGGCATAGCAACTGTACATTCTCCTGGGGTGGTAGCCTCTCTTGACTCTGAAAAAGTGTTTGATTCAGTAGAGTGGTACAATCTGTGGAGGGTACTGGAATGTTTTGTGTTCGGGCCCAACTTTATTGCGTGGCTGAAACTACTAAACCAACACCCAATGGTGCTGTAAGCCCCATTCCCCCTACATCGTGGGACGAGACAAGGCTGCCCACTCTCCCCTGGCCTTTTTCCCCTGGCTGTTGAACCTTTGGCGACCCTCCTCTGCCAGGACCTGAGGGTGGAGGGATTTCCAGTAGGGCTGCTGCATGAGAAGATCTCCCGTTATGCAGATGATACTGTATTATACTTACGGGTGCTGACTCCTCTTTATGCTCTTCATCGGGCACCATAAATTAGTTTGGTCGCAATTCTTGCAATCGTGTAAATTGGGAAAATTTGGTCCTTTTTTTCTCTTCACCCTTTGGCTTCGAGAGGTGAGACGCATATGCCCCTACAGTGTGTGGAGGAATTTGTGTATCTGGGCGTGAAGGTTAGGGGTAACTTGGAGGCCTATTTAGAGGACAATTTTACATCATTGCTTTCCCAATTTACCCGCAAGTGTCATCATGGCGCAGGTTACCTTTGACGCCAGTGGGCGATGTGAATTTGCTGAAAATGGTTTATATACCGAAATTCCTTTATTTCTTTAGGAACACTTCAATGGCTATACCTAGGGCCTTTTTTTGTTACGCTGGACATTTAGTGGTCTCCTTTTATATGGGCTGGGAAGACTCCTAGATTGGCACGGAAAACACTCTAACTCCCCCTTTCTCAAGGGGGACTGGTCCTCCCAACATTTTTACTGTACAACTGACGGCCGTACTTGTTACGGTCCTATGGTGGTTCAGTCAGCCTAAACAACCCAACAGTTACCTTGGAGGGTGCTCTATTGGGGTCATATGCTGCTCTGAGTAATCATGTTTATCGTGGATCCAGGGCCAACCACTTGATTACGGGATTGATGCATACTACACTTAGAGTTAGGGTGCAAGCTAGGGAAGTTTATAGGGAGGGAGCTACAAACTCTCCTCACATCCCCCTCTGGGGCAACCCACAATTGCGACACCTT